ATTTGAAACCAGTGGAAACTGATGGAGGGCACTATAGCAACAGAGGCTCATGTCTTGAGTGGAGAATCTGGCCATTGCCAGTACTCCAATATATACATATTTACAAAAGGTCACGGGGCCACTGCCGTTTTAACCTCCGGGGAGGATTGTAGGGATGACTGGAGCTAGATAGGGATTGTGCTACAGGATTTGGATGATGAATGAGTTTCTGGTGAAATTTGGAAAATTTTTCTGGGATTAGGTCAATAACAAATGGGATATGAAGGTCATTATGGAGGGTTTTGTTGGATACATAGAAGGGAGCATCGACTATTGTTCGGAGGATTTTAGACTGGAAGGATTGAATGCGTTTGATGTTAGAAAGTTTTGCTGTCCCCCACAGTTCTATTCCGTAGGTCCAAATAGGTTTCAGGATTGTCTTGTAGATTAATAGTTTGTTGTCGACTGAGAGTTGAGATTTTCTATTCAATAGTCTATATAGTTGTCCGTATCGTCTGTTAAGTTGTTGTCTTTTAAGTCTGGTATGTGGGTTCCATGTTGGTCTTTTGTCTAGAATAAAGCCAAGATACCGGACTGTGTCGGACAGAGGAAGTGGTATGGAGTTAAAGTAGACTGGTAGACAGGAATTGCGTCGAAGGGTAAAAGTAATATGTTTGGATTTGGATTCATTTACTTGGATTCGCCACTTATTACACCAGTGTTCAATAAGAGAGAGGTGACTTTGTAGGTTTAAGGATGCTATTTCAGGATCTGGATTGGAAGATAAGATGGATGTGTCATCAGCGAATGTTGCCAGGATTGTTTCAGGATGAGTAGGAATATCAGCGGTAAACAGAATGTAGAGGACGGGACCCAAGACGCTGCCTTGAGGAACTCCCGCCTTGGTTGAATGACAGTTGGAGGATTCTGTACCATAGCGAACTTGAAAGGAGCGGTCAGAGAGGTAGGATCGGAGGATAAGATATAAGGAATGGGGTAGATGGGATTTGAGCTTGAAGAGCAGTCCGGCGTGCCATACCCGATCAAAAGCTTGCGCAATGTCCAGGAATGCCCCCGAACAGTACTCTTTGCTTTCTAGGGCTGAGGATATGTGGTCAACAAGTCGGAGTCCTTGTTGGACAGTGGAATGTTGGAAGCGAAATCCAAATTGGTGGGTTGGAAGGTTTTGGGATTCTATTATGGGTAGGATTCTTTTCAGTAGGATTTTTTCAAAAATTTTGGAAAGGATTGGGAGTAGGCTAATTGGTCTATATGATGATGTATTATTGGAAGGTTTGCCAGGTTTCAAGAAAAGGACGATGGTGGAATGTTTCCATAAGAGAGGAAAATGGGTAGTTCTTAGGATGCAGTTGTATATGTATGTGAGGAATATGATTGCTTTGGGTGGTAGTTGATGAAGGATCTGTGGGGTTAGAAGGTCGTATCCAGGAGATTTGCGGGAAGATAGTTTTTGTAAATGATATTTGACCTCAGATGGATGAACTGCTTTTGGTGGTAAAGAGAGTGGAATTGGTGAAGAAAGGAATTCTTCTACTATTGTAGTGTGGGTCGGATTGGATTCGGGATGAGGAGTAAATGTACTGGAAAGGTGTTTGGCGAATTCCTCAGCTTTGTCTTCATCAGACGCCGCCCAGGAGCCATCACTTCGACGGAGGGGATGGGAAATATTATGGTTTTTTAGGATTTTTTTGGTGATATTCCAGAGGGAGTTGTCGTGAGCAGAGAGGGAGGTAAGGAAGGAGTTAAAGGATTGGGATTTGAAGTTGGATAATTCTTGCTTTAGTTGTTTACAGAGATAGTTATAGGAGCTGCGGTCAGTGGGATGTCTGGTACGTTGCCATAACAATCTGGCACGGCGTTTGGTATGGATTAGGTCGAGGATGTGATGAGGTAATTTATTTTTCTTTGGAGTTCTAGGGGAATGATTAGGAGAGGAGGCAGTCCAGACTGCTTGTTGAATGATGGTGGTTAAGGAATGTACAGCATTGTCAAGGTCTTCTGGGGTTTTCAGGGTTATTCTGAGGTCAATTTGATCGGAAAGGATTTGATGGAAGAGTTTCCAGTTGACTGGGCCTCTGATGAAGGACGGTGGAGAGGGTTTGGGAATAGGAGCTAGTGATACTTGGAATATTAATGGACTGTGGTCTGAGGAAAGTTCATCAAGGCGTGCAATGGAATAGTTTAGGGGACCTAAACCACTATGGATGAAGAAATCAAGGATATCGGGATTACGGTTAGGATCAGTGGGCCAGTAGGTAGGTGAGTTCGGGGGAGCGAGGTTGAAATGTTGGGAGTTGAGTGCAGACAGCAGTGTTCGACCTCGAGAATTCGTTGTTCTTGAACCCCATTGCTGATGCTTGGCGTTTAAGTCTGCACCCAGGATGAAATGGTGTCCTAAGGAATTAAGGAAGGAACTAAATTGGATATTAGAGGTGGATTGGTTGGGAGGGCAATACGCTCATGCTAGGGTAATAGGAAACGAGAAGGTTTTGATTATGATAGCAGTGGATTGTAGGAAATCGTGAGTAGGTAATGGGAGTAGGTGATGAGAGAGGGATTGGTGTGCAATGACTGCAGTGCCGGCATGAGCTCTGCCGTCTGGATGGTCAGTACGATATGTTGAGTACTGAGGTATATTTAAAATTTGTTTTTTGGTCAGTCGAGTTTCTGTAATAAGGGCTACATCGACGTTCTTATCTCGCAATAAAGCTGTTAGTTCGTCAGTGTGGTTTCTAACACCATTCGCATTCCAAAAGAGAATGGATAGGGGTTTGATGGAATTCATTTAAGGATTTTTTAGAGGGATGAGGTGAGATACGAGATTTGTAAGGAGAGATATCAGTGGGGTGACGAGGGATTTGAATTCGGTGAGAAAAGATGCCAACAAACTGGTAAGATCAGTGGCTTGTGATGGAGGAGGAATATAAGGAATGTGATGTTGATGAGGTTGTTGAGAGTTTTGTACATTAGGAGGGATAGGGTGTAGGAGTTGGGATTGGGGTTCCTGTTGCGGCAGGGCCTCACATTTATCAGTCAGGACTCTACCCCCTAGTAACTGAGAATAAGATACTCTAGAGTCTACTATTTTAGCTGACCCTCTTCTGGGTTTAGAAGTTTCTTCTGTGTTCCGGGGTTTACGAAATTTATTTTTGATATTTTTATACACCTGGCAGCCCTTGTAATTAGCAGGATGTCCTTCTAAGCATAAAGCACATACTGCAGGAGTAGTTTTCAATTTCTTGCACTCACCAGTCTTGTGTGACTCTCCGCATTTCACGCATCTTGGGATGTGGTGGCAATATGTTTTGGTGTGTCCATATGCCTGGCAATTGTGGCACTGGACGATTTCTCTTTTAGTATATGGTTTTTCAACCTTGACACTTGTATAATATAATCTGTTGATTTCATATATTTTCTCGACTCCTGCTGAGAGTTCTAAATCGATGAAAAATAGAGGTAATGCTATCTTTCTATTATTTGCTCCAGAAACGTCTCTGTCGTCCTTCATAACATTAGTGACCTGTCGAACTTTGAAACCTAGGGCCGTCAATTCTTCTTGGATCGCCTCGACTGGAGTAGAGGGATGTAAATTTCGCATTACTACCCTCAAGGAACGCTCTTGCCTCAATTGGTAGGTGTGAAAGTCTGCCTTTGTGTCTGATAAATATTTAATTATTTGGCGGTATGCATCAGCTGTGCCAGGGGATATTTTAATATCGTTAGTGCGGCTTAAGCAGGAGTAGCTACCAGGAAGTGTGATTTTGTTTAACTGGGTGCATGGTAAAGAGAAATTTTTTAGATTTTTAACGAAAATTGGAGGTGGTCTGGGGTCTCTGGGAATGGATGCAGATTCCATTATCTCATTTTGAAGTACCTCGTAAGGATTTGGGGTAAAAAAGGGAGATTCTTCCCTCATATCCTGAGATGTACCCGGTTGAGATTCAATATTATCTGTTGCTGTAGGTGGAGTAGCAGGTGGCGTCATTCTAAATGGAGTCATTGTCATGGACATTCTAGTGGAGTTTTTTTTTTCGCAGGTGAAGAACGTGGTGTAGATCCGACAGAGCGCGATCTCGTTGTTGCACCCTTAGAAGACATGAGTTGGTGATAAAATCTCATAACATGTCAGAATAAAGTGAGGGAAGAAAAAAAAAATAGAGAAAAAGTGAAATGGGAAATAAAATTAAAACATGCTGCGTGACCTTGATTTTTTATCAGAGTCGCTATAGGACCTCCTTTCCCAAGTGAAGGCTCCAGGCCAACTGACTACGTTGGGCCAGGTACTTATGGCCTTACGATAAGGGAACTGGCCTCTATACACCAGTTTCACTTCGCACAACTGTACACAATAAATAACAACAGTACTCACTGTGGCATTAGTATATATTATGGTCCAGGTGTTTAGTTAACACACAGTCACAATTTTATAAAAAAATAGCACCAATTTCCTAACAAAAAGTAAATATGTCTAAGAGACGAATTGATATAACTAGATATTTAATTTAGCGTAAAAGTAAGCACAGATAGTGAACATATTTAATTCCATCAAACTCTGAATAAAAATCTCCCAGAATAGATTTTTATGCCAATTTTCAAAAGATATTTTTTTCTGTGCAAACTCTAAAATAAAAAAAAAAATTAGTTCAAAATTTATAAAAAGATCCATTTTAGTGCAAAAAATATATAAAAAAACCTATAAGATTTTGTTTTTTAAAGGTACTATCCATGATCGCCATAAATCGAGAATTATGTTTACCCTCCAACAAAAAAAAGGATAAATACTACACATCATTCTAGAGACGACCCTTAGGGTTTTTATTAACTTAATCTGTCTTGTAATTGAGAAAAATCACACCTTAGTGGGATAGAGTAAGCTACTTCTTGTGCATGATAGACAAAACAGTCACACTCTTAACTCTTTAATGTTTTTTCAAAAAAGGAGAAAGGTTTAATAAAAGAAAAAAACGTTAGTATGTGGTTTAAAAATAATAAAAACAACATTTAAAGCAACATTTTATTAATCATTTACATAATAAAACTATTTCAATCAGAAACATAAGGGTTTTATTGATTTCCATTATACTAATGTTCATATTTTGACATTACAAAAGAAAGCATTCAGCATTTATTAATCATCACAATAATTAAATAATACTATTAAAACAGAAATATCTACTGGATTTGTCAGGGCAAATAAAAATATGAGATTTGTAAAGATGCTTTAGTAACAAAGTGTACTACGTACATATTGCAAACAAGCTCACATATGCACACACACTCACACACACACATTCTTGTTCATAAAATTAATAACAAAATAAAATATAAAATAATAAAAGTATTATTTTATTATTTGATCTAATTATTTCAAGTACAGTGTTATCTATCACTGAATATTTGGTTAATTAATAATGACACTAAAATATGTAGCATCAAACAGGTTTACTTTCATTTAATCTATGGTATTTGAAAATTATAGAAGTATCCATAAACTTTAATAAGGGCAAAGATAAAATTATTTACAAAGTATCACATAATTTTCCATAAATTCTTTAAATATTGGTTTGCTGATTACATTTTCAAATTTGAATTTGGCTTAAGTTTAAAAGCCAGAATATCACCAAACTAATTCCTACTATACACTGTTAACTAATCAATTATTTCATACAGCTTCATGAATCTGTGCAAAAATATAAATTGATAAAGAAAAATACTTATTGAAATTTGTGCTCCAAATTAGCCTTGTATCGGTATACCCTATTTATTTATCCTTATATACACGGATGAGAATAAAGAGCACACTTTTCATCAACGCCTGGTAAAGAAAATAAACAAAAAATAATAAAGATTTTCTTAAATAAATAAATACATAATTAGTCTTGGTTGAATAAAATTAAATATTTTTTAATATTGATGATAGTTGATGTTCTAGAAAAAAAAAAAAAAAACTGACAAATATTAACACCAAGAACGTTAAACTTTTGCTTTTATAATATTCAAGTTAAACATTAAAAGTCTGTATGTTCTCTGCGGTATGTCAATGTAGGAGACAAGAGTGACTGCAGGCTGGTTGAAGTCATCAAAGGACTTTGCAAATGGCGGTGTTTAATTACTTCTCTCTCTACAGGTATATTCAAGTCCTAAAAAAAAATTAACAAAAAAAACTTAACTTGAATAATTGAAATAAGATAAATAGTTATAATACAGATATAGTAGAATTAAAGAAATCAATTTTTATAACTGAGTGAATTCATTAATGCAAGAAGGGGTTGTGATCTGACTGTTGCTTATGATGGATGCCCTTGGACTTCATGGAGGTGAGAGGATAAGGAATGAAAATGGACGCCATATTGATTTATGTTTGGAAAATGACATGCTTGTGGGCAACTTCTTCTTTCCTCATAAAATAATACACAAAATAATCTCGAGCCTGGAAAAGATGGTATTATCGATTATGACAGTATTTTACCGACATTAAAGTGATAAAAGGCGCAAAAATTAGCAATGATCATCTGCTACTAATAGGTACAAAAAATTCTCAGAAACAGCATGTTAAAACAAAAGAACTACCAAATGTTAAATATAGAAGTTCTAGACCACACTGTGGTGGCATGGAGAGAAGTCCACAAGATATAACAGTGAGCTCCTCAAACTGAAAAACTATTCGGAACCATTTAGGGAAAAATTGAATGGAGCCTTGATGGGCATACAAGGAAGCAAAAGTAGGGGAACGGGCGATAATTGGAGGAGAATTGAAAGCCCATTAAGGAAGACGGTGGAAGAGGTCCTGGGAGTGATACGGATTGTGGCAAGAATTGAATGGTTTGATGAGGAGTGTCAGATGGCATTGAGGGAGAGGAATGAAGCAAGAATGAAGATGCTGCAGAGAAATACGAGGCAGACCAAGGAAGTCTATAACACAAAAGAAGGGCTGCCAAGACTATTTGTAGGAAGAAGAAAAGAATGATGGAAAGAAGCAAAGTAGAAATGCTACAAGCTGAATGGAAAGCAAAGCAGTCCAGAAAGTTTTCTAAAGGGATTAGGGAATTTCAGAATGGTTCCCAACCAAGGATGGGTATTTGCAAATATAGAGAAGGCAACATGGTGGGAGGAACTGCAGAGGTATTGGATACTCGGAGAGAATATTTCCAGAACTTCTGAATGGAGAAGAAAATACAGAGAGGAATGTGTTGCATGGACTTACACAAGAGGAATTACTGAGTGGTGAAGATGATGTGAAGCCTTGAATTGAAGATTATGAGGATTTCATGGAAGTGTTTGAAACACTTAAAAACTATGACATTGAAATTACCAGGAAATTATGGCATTGACGCAGAAATGTTGAAATATGGTGGAGAGGACCTACTAAAGAAAGTATATGACTTGTTGTTGGAGGTATGGGTCGAAGAAAAAATGCTGTAAGAGTGGACAGCAGCCATTATCTGTCCAGTTTTCAAAAAAGGAGACAGAACTAAATGCAAAAATTAAAGAGGTATAAGGCATTTTCTTCACTCCTAAATAAAAAGTTATAAGTATGGTCCAAACGTATTCTTGGTGAGTATCAATGTAGTTTCAGGCCAAATAGATCTACAATCGATCTAATATTTTCCGTCAAACAGATGTTAGAAAAATGTAATGAATATAATGTAGATCTTCATCATCTTTTCATCGATTTTAAAAATGCATGCAGTAGTGTCAATAGAAGTGCATTATTGAAAGTAATGGTCACTTTCGGTGTACCAAAAAAGTTAGTTAGACTAACAAGGATGACACTGACTGGTAGTTGTTGTAAAGTCAAGATAGAAGGAGCACTATTAAAAAAGTTTGCAGTTGAAGACGGCCTAAGTCCAGGAAGAACCCTTGTCCCCGACTCTTTGCAACCTAGCCTCAGAATATGTAGTACGTGCTATTCTGACAAGCTCTCATGGCACGATATATAATAGACTGTCACAGCATCTAGCCTACACAGAGGACGTGGTAATATCGGCTAGATCAAGAGCATCTTTATTGGGGGCGTTTGAGGAGTTTGAAAACGCTTCGAAAAAGTTAGGCCTCCATATAATCGATGAAAAGACAGTTTATATGAAGTCAACAAGAAACCCACCAGAAAGAATGGAAGAAATGATCAAACTTGGAAGCCACACTATCAGGATAGCAAACCAGTTTAAGTATTTGGGTGCTCTTGTCACATCAAAGAATGAATACCAAGAAGAAATTAAGGCAAGAGTAGCTGCTGGAAACAGGTGCTAGTACGCTCTTCAAAAACCCTTAAAATTTAGAGGCCTGACCAACAGAGCTAAGATCATATTATATAAAATAGTCATTAGGCCGGTTGTGTCTTATGGCTGTGAGACTTGGGTACTGTCCAAAGAAAGTGAAAGAATGTTAAAAGTTTGGGAAAGGAAAGTACTCAGAAGAATATATGGACCTGTCTGCGAGAATGGAAAATGGAGAATAAGAAAGAATGAGGAGCTGAAAGAAATGGTTCAAGAACCAGATCTGTTTTCTTTTGTTAGAAAGAATCAGTTGAGGTGGCTGGGACATGTGGAGCGTATGCCGGTGAATAGGATACCCAAAAAATTACTGGATGGTAAGCCTGGAGGAGAAAGAGTTAGAGGACGTCCACGATTAAGATGGTCAGAAAGTATTGAGAGAGATAGAAATCAGAGGATGGAGGAGTAGAGGATAGGGAAGAGTAGAGTAGGATTGTAGAGGAGGCCCAGGCTCTTGTAGGGCTGTGGGTGAAGGCCATAATAAGGAGGCCCATGGAGTGTGTGAGACCACATTGTAAAGGGAATCCACACTAGACAACTGGAAGAAAATCTAAGAACTTTAAGTCAGGAGGGTGATTGAAATAGTAGTGATGCTATTTGAGGGTGTCTATCATGGAAACACCTAGGAAAGGAATAAAGAATTATGTCATGTTGCACAATAAAAGAAGATATCGTGAAAAGCCAATCTTCAAGATGAAATACCCCCCAAAAAACTGTAATGACATCCCAGAATTTCCTACCAGTACTTTATATAACAGATGGGAGGGAAAAGAGGCAAAACCTTTCAAGAAATAAGGCAGATTAGCAGGGACCTGGAGGCAGGACTATGTTGGATTGAGGTTCCTCCCTATTCTTTTCAAAATTTACAAAGATTGAGACCCAATATTAAAAATACCAAAGAGATTTTTATTTAGATCTCTACAAGATATAACAAATAAGAATTATAAATTTCAAAGTATTACACATTTTTTTCCTAGAAATTACCTGCAGAGATAAATGTTTATCTCAGGATTTTTTCACTTTTCTGCCTGTCCAAGATCCGACGAATGACTTCAATGTTGCACTAATGCTTTTGGTTGGAGATTTAGAATCAGTAGTGAGCAAATTCTGTGGATGTGCATCAAGACATTTCTGATACCTTAACTGTAATAATAAGTAAAATCTACAATTAAAATGATAGCATATGACATCAAAATCATTTGATTAATATTTTGAAAATTATAAAGTTTTGAATCTACCAAACTCAGAACTGGATGTTTTAAGACGCCATTACATAAAAATTACTATTTATGTTAAAAGAAAGAATGTTTGAGTGAAAACTGAATTTAAATAAACATCATTAAAATATTGATCCATTTTCTAATTAATTATGATCTATAACTAAGTAATGTACAACTACAAAAAGCATTTAGAAATTTTAAACTACATTTCATGAAAAATTGACTGCACCACTTTATTTAGAACAAGATTATCTCACCTTACAAGCAGCTTCAACTGTTTTGCATAAAGCACCCGAGGATGGCTCACAGTGAAAAACATGTGCAATAAATAGATCTTGTGCAGTATGCATTATAAAAGCACATTGCTTTACATTATGCCCTATTCCAAGAAATGACAAATATCGTACTCTGCATTCTACCAAAGGTTTGTTATCCTGGAAAGATGAAAATTAATTGAATAACGTAAATTACTTTAGATTAGCTGGTATATTTTTAAACAATTAAAGGGAACTTTTCACTGGCTCACTTAAAAAAATAAAAAACAAGGTCATTGAGCCAGTATTTTTATGATTTTGAATAAATACTTTGTTTTATTTATTTATTGGTTAAGGTTAGGGAGAATGGATTATACCTTCACCTTATACTTGGATAACTAAATAAATGGCCACTAGTCTGTCCAGTGATAAAGGAAACACCATGAATATGTCTAAAAAATCTAGACTTTAGAATGAAAGTTAGCAAAATATTCATCCTTCAAGGTTTTCCCATTACTTTTGGGTGACCTCTTTTTGAAATTTCCTAAATATTTCTATCCATCCCTGCATGGGCTAGCCTAGTACATGGCTAGTGGGTATTAATGTTTCCTTCCTCCTCTCTCTAGGTGCCTGTGTTCAGTACACAGCACAAAACACTATATGTTTTGTATAGTATACAATAAACTGGATTATGGTTTACCATAATTATAGCCATCCCGCCGACCTGCTGCGGCATAAACTGATGCAACGATGGTTTACCATAATTGTAGCCATCCCGCCATCCTGCCACAGCATAAACTGGCACATTGATGGTTTACCATAATTGTACTACTCATCTTCCTTCATCCACTGATTCATTATATTGAACACACACTGTCGAGAACTTCTGGTAACTGTACAATATCTTGACATATGTAAACTGACACAAGGACACCTTTTATACATACCCTAGAGCCACCTTCTGTTGAAAACCAGTCAGAGTGCTCTGGGGAGGCAACATCTCCATCTCATTCTGGGTCTGTGGGCTAATAACCTGCTCTCCTCACATATATACTATTACAAGACCTCATAGAGAAAAAATCAGATTGATTAATGGTAAAATACCTGAAAAATGCCAAATGAACTTCACACTAAGGTATTGGAATATCCTATCACTAGAAACCAGCAGAACTTCAGGTCCTCCTGATAGAATTGAACAACTACAGAGTCAAAATAGCAGCTATGTAGGATGAGCAGCAGACTTATTGAGAAGAAATACTATAATAGCTTCCACCAAAAGAATCACATGTTTGGATAAAAAGTGAGAGGACGGATGAATCATCAAATTATTAGATTTTCTTCCATAAATTAATGGATTTGTACCCTTCTTATCAAAGTATATTACAGCCTTATTACTTTTCATGCTCCTACTGAAGTATCAAATAATGTAGAAAATGAGAACTACCACACCTTAGAAAGAATCCACAATATATGCCCTAGAAGTGATATAAACATCCTATTAGGGAACTTAAATGCTCAAATCAGGAATAAAGAAATGTATAGACCTCCATAGTATCCATAAAGACAGCAATGACAATGGAAAAAGGATCATAAATTTTTCTAAATCATGAAACATGTGTCTAAAAAAAAAAAATAAATAAAAAAGGTTTTAAAGGTTAATAGTACATAAGCAGTAAACAAGGCAGATAACCTTAATTAGATAAGCAAGGGTGTAATAACTAAGATGTTGATCGGCTAACATAAAACATAATCTAATCAACAAGGCAGGTAACTGGAAAATATAGAACAGAAAGATGAGTTGATAAGAGGCTCTATAGACAGAAAAAGCGAGAATAGGAGTATAAACAGCTTGAAGAAGTGGAGACAATCAGAAATACAAATAGAAACAGAATGTTTTTTTTTTTTCCAAAAATTTAATAAGAAAAACTCCAGTAACATATAAGTAGACCATTATATCGAATAAATGCAAAAAACTTAAATAAGTTCAAACACAGTGGCGTAATCATAAAATGGAGGTCATTTTCAAAACCTACAGCTCCAGAAACATAAGGAAACACCCTTTTATTGAATAAATCCGAACAACTTAAATAAGTCAAAAAGCAGTGGTGTAATCATAAACTGGAGATCATTTTCAAAATCTACGGCTCTGGAAACATAAGAATACACCCTTTTATCGAATAAATCTGAACAACTTAAATAAGTCAAAAAGCAGTGGTGTAATCATAAAATGGAGGTAATTTTCAAAATCTACAGCTCCGGAAACATAATACTAGACCCTTATATCAAATAAATCCGAATTAATACAATAAATCGATATCCAAAAGTTTAACATAAAATCGATAGTATTTTGATATTGGGAATGGCTATTTGATATTCTCATATTGGGAAATGGCCCTTATTTAGAAAACAATAAAAAATTTACAAAAAATAGAAACTTTAATTTGAAATGGAAAAGATTGAATTTTAATTGGAAAAAGTTTAATTTGAAATGGAAAAGGTTGAATTTGACTTGGAAAAAGTTTAATTTCATTTGGAAAAGGTTGAATTTGACTTGGAAAAGGTTGAAGTTAACTTGGAAATGCTATTTATCAGAAGTAAAGGATCTCAAGTTTTACTGCATTTAACAATGCCACATTTGTGTTTATATGTGTAATCTTAAAAGTGGTTTAATCTTAAAAAGGAGATAAGTTTTAAAAACTGTGGCTCCAAAAACATATAAATCGACCCTTATATCGAAGAAATACAGATAACTAAGATAAGCAGCAATGCAGTGGCATAATCTTAAAATGGAGACCATTTTAAAAATCGACAGCTCTGAAAACAAATAAATAGACCCTCATAACGAAGAAATACAAAAAATCTCAAATAAGCTGTAACTCAGTGGTGTAATTCTAAAATAGGAATCATTTTAAAAAACTGCCGCACCGAAAACATGTAAATAGACCCTTATATCATAGAAATCCAAAAAAATCAAATAAGTCGCAATGTAGTGGTGTAATTTTAAAATGGAGATCATTTTAAAATTCTGCGGCTCCGAAAAGATATAAATCGACCCTTATATCGAAGAAATACAAAAAACTCAAAAAAGCTGCAATGCAGTGGCATAATCCTAAAATGGAGATCATTTTCAAACTCTAGGGCTGGGAAAATATATAAATAGACCCTTATATCGAAGAAAAATAAATTTAGCGTTAAATAATTTGAAAAACTCGAATAAGAAATAAAAAGATAATAGACAACATGAATTTATTTATTATCTAGATAAAAGATAAACAGAAATATTCATTATTCCTAGTTGAATATACGAATAAATTATTCGTTATCTATTATCTATTATTATGGGTGATAAATACTCAGAACGCTGTAATTTCAAAGTTTTTATTAGTGCCGTCATTTCAACCCAAACATGTGGGTCATCATCAGGGCTGAGAATTTTTAAATACAATCAGAGATATATATTATACGACAGATAATGGTTGATAATAAAAAAAATATAGTGATTGATGATACATGAATCTTAACTAATATTACAATACAAAATATTACAAATGAAATATATAAAAAGTTATACAAACTAAAAATAATGTATATAATCAATTTACAAAAATTGTAATATTTTCTCTTACTAACCGTGGTTCGAGCACTGAAGGTATTCAAGTACTGACATTTTGCTAGGAAAGTGAAAGGGTCGGAGGAGGATTTCCCAGTTGTACCTTGCCAGGTAGTAAAAGTTAGGTAAACATAGTCAGAAGGGGGGGGAGGGGGAGGGAGGAAACATTTCTGTTTGTAGAATGTAAATAATTTGCTGAATAAATACTCAAGATGTGTACAAGATTTGCGTTGTTTCTTATGCTTACAGAATTGTGACTAAGGGCTAGTAATGAAATGAACTTAAGCAAGAGGTGCCAATCAATATAAACATAACATAGTTTGATTGAAGGTATACAATAGTTAGGCAAATAATGTTTATAATACAGTTGCTTTCAAAATCAAATGTGTGGTTAAGGATTATGGCTAGTTTTGAGGCAAGCGGGTTTCGTGTGGAGATACTGTATTTGTGTAGATATATTCGTTTTTTAAAATAGTTTCTGGTTTCTCTTATATAAGAAGAATTGCAGTTTGGGCTAGAGCATGTGATATGTTATATAATATTTGATTGTTGTAGGAGCGGAACTGGATCTTTGAGTTTGGTTTACAGATTTCTTAATTTACTGAATTTAATTTTTGAAAACTATTTGTTGATGGAAGAATTTGGGAATTAAAGCTTTTTTGATTTTTTGAGATAGGAGCGGGATGTATGGAATGATGGATCTGTATTAGCGAATCATGGTGGGAGATTGACAGCAGTTTATGGGAGACTGGTGAAGATGAGGTGGTTTTGATTGATTTTTAATTAGGTCTTTTATTATTTGACCAGTAAAGGCATTGGATTTCAGGATCTTGTTTAGTTAGGTTATTGTTGCGGAATTGCGGGTCAGTTAATGTTAGATTGTGGTGTATCAGGTTTTCAGCTATATTGATTTTTTGGTGGTAAGGATGTTAGAAAAATAGTTGAGGAGACGGCCGGAGTAGGTAGGTTTGGTATACCAAGAAATGGGAGGGAATTATTTGATTCTATTTCAATGGTAAAACGGAGTAGAGGGTGACATGAGTTGAATGCAGAAAGTATGTTTGGAATAGCCTGGGGGTTGAGGATTAATAAGACGTCATGATATTTTTTAATGAAAAAAATATCATTGGGAAATTGGAGTAATATAGAATCAATTAGGTTATTTAGGACAATACTGGAGAGGTCTGGTGCAAGGCAATTACCCATCGTCAGGCCGGAAGTTTGATGAAAAAATTTGTTTTGAACATGTAGCCAGAGTTACAACATAGAGAGAGCGACTGAAGAAATTGATTGAGGGCAGTGTATGGTTCTATGGTAGACCAATTTTCTTCAATTATTTGGAGAGCACGGTCTGTGGGAATATTGATGAAGAGACTTTCTGCATCAAGGGAGGCTAAGATGAAATTTGGTAGTATGTTCAAGGATTTTAGTTTATCTAATAGGTGGAAGGAATTTTTAATATCATATGGATTGTTTTGACTGAGAGACTGGACGGTAGGGAGAAGAAATTTACTGAGTTTGGAAGATGGAGAGTTAATGTTGGAAATAATAGGTTTAAAAGGATTGCCTGGTTTATGGATTTTTGGTAAGCCGTATCACCGGGAAACAGTGGAATTATAAGATATGGGATTTCAATAGGTAGGGATTTTAATTTGTTTGGAGAAGGTGTTTTGGATGTTGGTTGATTTGGTTGTGAGAGATGGTGTAGGGTCACATTTTGTGGGAAGATAGGTGGTTTGGTCGAAAAGGAGTGCAAATAATTTTTCATTATACTCTGCGGGGTCCATAACGACAGTTTTGTTATCACTGTCTACACGAGTGACAATGATTTGGTTTTGGGAGTTTAGAAAGAAGCGAGTACAGGAAAAATTGTTTAGAAATTTTTATGAAAAATGGGATGGTATTTGAGATTGGTGCTGGAGATGGTTGGTGATAATAATGCATATCTAGGTTCGGGAAATAGTCCGTTCGCCATTGTTAACAATCAGGTTAGAGTCCTGATGGATATAATCTAGATCGGTGAGGAGAACTGGGACAAGGTTGGTGGATTGAGAAGGAGAAGTGTTGAAATATGGGCCGAGACTAAGAATATAGTTGATGTGAGGTGGAAGTTTGGAAATTTATTATCTATTATTTAAGATAAATTTTGCCCAACACTGGTAGGTACACACAAATTCAAAAATAAATAAATTATTGAAATTAATACTGGTCTGAAGCTAAATTTATACATATAAATAACCTTACCTGACTATCTGAATTGCTAATAGTAATCATACTGGGTGCAACTGCAATATTTACTGTTTGCCACTGTGATTTAGGAACTGTATTTACGAGTAGATCAATAGCATCATTAAGTACATCAATGCCGCTTGCCTTTGAAACTTCAATATTTCCTAAATACTGGGCCACCAACACTTTTTTTGGTTCCTCCATTGGTGTAGGGAATGATTGAGCTATGAAGTCAAGAAATAAAAAAATATATCTGTCAATTGTGTACATAAAAGTTTAGGTCTAAATTAAAACAAAATTGATAAGGTTAAATTTGCCTATGTGGTGAAACAAATTGTCTTCAACTTTGGTAATTTTCATGATGGCTGCACCGTAGTTAAACAAATATATAATTAATGTTTCAATTAGTTTTGGAACAGATTAATTTTCTATAAATATACCAGTTAATAAGGCAGTAGATATTTAATTTTTTTTAAATGCATTGTATCAAATAAATTCAAGAGAAATAGTAAAATAATTTTTAAAAGCCTTAGCATTCTTGAAAAGGAATAATTATTGTAGAGTATTTATTGTTACTACTTAAAACAATTTAGGCTCAATCATGATGATAAATATAGAAATTTCATTTGTATATTGATATTCTAAAGTTTAAAGTAATTTACAAAAAATTGCCAACACTATTAGGAATATTCCTGATAAGGGTAATAGGTTAGAAGGAGCTAATTAGTTTTGCTTTTGCATGCATACTTGCAATTCATGGTTTACAATTCATTATGTTATAATGTTTGGCAATGCCCTCACACTGTGGGAAGGCAAGAGTGTACCAGATCTATGGCTCTGAGGCCTGGGGACTCAAGGGGCTTGGTCAAAATAGTAGAATTTTATAGGCTGTTAAAAATTGAAATATAAAACCTATATTTGAAATATAAAAATATACCTAATAATAATTAAGTATCCCACATAAAAAAAGTTATGTACCCAGATGCAAGTATAAAAATATTCCATTAATTTTCACGGAATATTTAGTTCTTGATACATAACTACTTGGCAAAAAATTAAAAAGATATGTCTGTTTGGTTAAAATAGGCTTTACATTTTCTTTTTAGTTTATTTATTTATTAATTCAACTAATTGAATATTGTAGATGTTTACTCACTAAATTGACCTTGAGGACTTCTGTGAAAATGCTTATACTCAGTTGGCAAGTTGGTCGGCCGAACTGCTGATGTCTGTTTGCTTGAAACAGTGCCATCTTAAAAAAAAAAAATAATAAAACAAAATTAATACTAATTCTTTAAAAAGGCATTGATTTATAAATGTTAAATTACTTACTAATGTCAATAGGTTTAGCTAAATTTTGTTGTAAACTTCGTTCAATCATAATTTTTTTACAAATGTCTCTAAGAGTGTTGGCAATAGTCCTTGCAGGAATGTCACAACGGAACACATGGCACATGTGTTTACGGGTAACTCTATCACGGGCGACATAGGCAAAATCTCTGAAAAATTTAACAACCATTATGGTTTTTTTCATAAATAGGCAGGAAAAAATATATCATGTATTTTAAAATATATTTAAGAAACTACAAATTACAAAATTTATTATTTAATATAAAGAACAGACTATTTTGAGTTAGAATGAACATCTGAATAGGAAATTTAGAAAAACAACTTAATGTACAAATATTTACTCCAACATCAATAACAAAAGTTACAATTTACTCAAATTTAAAACTGAAATATGGACAGAGAAAACTATATGTAAAATAATTTAATTTAATTAATGATAATACTAGTTATTTAGACAGGAAGAGAGAGACTTTTGAACATATAATTTATAACTGGTCATTGCATTGCAGGCAGAGCCAGAAAAAGGATTTTTTTTTCCAAGGGAAGCAAGATTCTTTTTTCTGCTCTCTTTCATCCCCTCAATACCCTAATAAAAGCCAAGATTATGAAATAAATATAATCTCATAACATTAACTCATTTTATTGAATGAATTAAGGTTAACAAAATTAACCTAAAAATAAAATTTCATCTAAAATTTGCCACGCTGTAAAATCTGCTACCCAGGGTAAGTGCCTCCTCTGCCCATTCCTAATTCTAGCCCTATTTTCAGAAAATTATTAAAATGATATATTTTAATACTTTTTAAAGAAGAACGTCAACCAATCACAGAATTCAACTTGTACTATGAATTAAAGTGTAGCTGTACAAAATTTTCCAATATCTTATACTTCAATAAACTGATTTAAGATTCAAACATAAGTTGGTCTAAATATTGATATTTAATAACTAAATATTTTTTAGGTATTTGTTTCATTTGTTATATTGTAATCACATATCTTTATATATATATATATATATATATATATATATATATATATATATATATATATACATATATATATATATATATATATATATTTATATATTTATATTTATATTTATATATATATTTAAATACACATTGGTGTGAAAAAATCTTTGAACAAACCAAATTTTTATAAAAATGACATTTTTGACCATTATAAAATTATAATTTTGCATCAACGAGGACTTACAATAAGAGAAATTCGAAAAGAATTAGAAGGTTCTAATTCTGGAATTCATTATGTCACCAAAACGTTTTTAAAAAACAAGTAAACCGGAGACTTGAAACGTTTCAGGTAGGTCTAAAAAACATAGTAATGCTGCTGAACAACATTTAAAATTATAGTGTTTGCACAATCGCTAAAACTCTAGAGAACTAGATTGAACTAGGAGAAAGTTAAGGAAATAGCCAATCCTACCGAAATCCAAGTTCCCCCTCCTTTATAAGAAGGAATCTCCTATTATTAGGCCTTAAAAATTGTGTTGCCAGAAGAAATCCATTTTTTTTATCTCAAAACAAGCAAAAGCGACTTAAGTTCACCAAAGAACATGGTAATTGGACAAAAGAAGAAAGGAACAAATGTTTGAGGAGAAATGATTTAAAATTTTAATATGTAAGAGAAAATCTAGAGTGGAATTTTAGGATAAATGTTTACAACCAACAGTAAAACACGGAGGGAGCTTCTTAATGATTTGGGAGTGTATTACTAAATCTCAAGTTGAACACTGTTTGTGAATTAATGGAAAACTGTACGCAAAACAGTACCATAGCATTCTTACGTACTATGCTACACCATCTGGGCTTAAGCTGATTGGGCAGAACTACATTTTTCAGCAAGATACCAATAAAATATATGATATTTTGCCATTTTCTGAAATAAAAGTAACATAAATAGAAAACAAAGAGAAATTATGAAATATCAAATTAAATCATCGGATAAACAACAACGAAGAATTCCAATATTAAAAAAAATGCAAAGAATTCCAATACTAAAACAATTTTAGAAAAAAACAACAAAGAATTCCAATATTAAAACAATTTTAACAGATGTACTTAGCTTTCTAAAGACTAAAGTGGATAACAAAGTAGTAAAATTTTAACAAACAGTAAAGTAGCATTATTCAGAGAGGAAAAAAACGTCAACACAATGGATGGGTTCCTTAGCTTGTCATTAATTAAAAATAATGGTAATTTAAGTATATATTACATCTACAATGTCAAATTAGTTTACAATCAAGAAGATAGAAACACTTTTAAATTAAATCATTTAGCATTTTTGTAAAAATTTGGTTTGTTCAAAGACTTTTACACTATATATGTATTTTTATGTATATATATATATATATATATATATATATATATACACACACACATAAAATATATATATATGTATATATATATATATATATATATATATATATATATATATATATATATATACAGGGGTGTGAGTGCGGGCATGTGTGTGTGTTTGTATATGTATATATGAATTATTAAATAGTAAAATAAAATAATATAATTTATTTTTAGTATAAAAATGTATCCATTAATATGGTATATTTGAAAGCAGTTCATTCTCTTCATTTTTTAAATGAGCTGAGCTTTAGATGCAACACTACTAAAAATCAAAATGAAAGATGTTCTTGATACTAATTCTTGCTGCTTTATTTTCATTTGTTTATCTAGGAAGACCAATGATTATTTACTAGCTGTATCCAAAACTTATAAAATTATTTAAATATTGCCAAACAATTTTTTTTTTAACCTGCCAAGTTTCAATGTTACGGCTTTCATTGATAAAGTAAATGTAGGTTTATACCTGATGAGGGGCAGCAGAAAAAGTTATACTATTCCAATATTATATTTCTACTCTCAAAAATTTAATAGTTTGAGAAAACTTGGCACGTTTAAAAAAAAATCTGGGCATGCACTTCATTTGATATGCCGTAAAGCTGAGCCTATAATTGATTTATGATTCAAAATTACACAAACCTTAATGATAATGAAATATATGCGTGAAAGCCATTAAGCTTATTGAAGAAGCAAAAGAAAAAAAAATGATCAAAATATTACCAGTATTTTAAAAATTAATACCCTTTTATTTTCATGCAATCAGTTTCAAGCAAATCTGTGCCAAAAGTTGATAAAATGTCAAAATATCTTAGTATGATGAGAAAAGTAAAATGACTCATAATTAAGACTCAGAGATATTTGCAACAAAAACTGTTGAAATATGCAGTAAAATAGCAACGAAATAGTGAAAGAAGGTAATAAAGATAAAATATTGGGCAACACACACACACACAAATTTATATATATATATATATATATATATATATATATATATATATATATATATATATATATATATATATATATATATATATATATATATATATATATAAACACACAAATATATTTCACAATAAATGAATTATTTAAAACAATTTATGGTTTTTGGTTTAGATTTTATTAATATTTTAAAAGTTATTTTCATTTCTAATAGACTTTTTTTAATGGGGGGATTCAATTTTTTTTTTATATAATAGATAATTCTACTATACAAACACTACCTACATTCCAAATAAGAAAGTTGTTTTAAGAAAAAAAAAATGCTCTTTTTTTAAATTTAATTGTTTATCTTTTTAAGGTCCCAAACATTACTCTCAGGTCCCAAATGGTCAATTAACCTCACTAACTAGACTCCGTCTATTTAGTTTTAAGGAAAAGAAGTAAAGGCATGAAATGTTCACATGATAATAATTATAATTGCAGCTGAGTCAAAAAATAGAAAATGGTTTAGCTATTTTCCCTCTCTTGGGTTTTTCCAAGAAGTTTTTCCATAATAAGTTGCCATCCAAAATAAAATGGTTCTCAGTACTTCAAACCCTATATTCATTATTGAACAATTTCCAAATAACTAATTTTACTATATTTAAAATTGAATTCATTTGAAGTATAGTGGTCAAATGTTGCATCCCATGGTTAAATACAATATTATGGTAATAAAGAAATAAAATATTGTCACTAAATCTTCATCTTGACAAATAAGCTTTATTGAACTAGATATAAGGTACTAGGTAAAGCATTCCTTCAAGTTAATAAAAGTGTCTGTATCATTAAAAGAACATTTTTCTTTCAAATTTAATAACCTTATGATTTTTTTGTTATATTTTTATTGTATAAATGGTATTTTTCTTCAAAATTTAATAAAATAATCTGAAATGATAACAAATATTAAACAATATTCCTATAAATCACAACTAAAACAACCTAGTAGTGGCGGTGCTTGATATGGTACCTTACATTATTAATGGGAGACAATACACACAATACTACAACCCCTATGTTTATCTCCAGACTAACCCTAGGAATCCATTTCTACATTGAGCAGCCCAGAAAAACATATTTTAGACCAGGGGTTCCCAATTTTTTTTCACCAGCGGGCACTGTGTTTTTATTCGATGTGAATTGCGGATAGGTTACTGTTTATAATATTTAAAAATTAAATGTGAAGTTTATTATTAAAAAGAAATATATACAAATATCTTTCTTATTTTCAAAACTAATGAAACATATTTCTACATAAAAGGCAAAAAAACACCAAGTTTAATGAATGTTATTATATAAAGAATTTTTATAATAGATTGTTAAATTAGAATTAGAATTAAAAATTAATTATAAGTAGTATGGGTTACAAGGTATAAAGTAAGTTTAAAGCAGTGTTACCAAGAGTTTTTTTGCCATTAATTTTTTTTTCCTTTTTCCAAATAATTCATTTATACTTTTGAATTTTATATCTATAAAATCTTGTTAGATTTTTAAATATACTTATATTCAAGAAACAATTGTAAAATATTTTAATTGAAAATTCAATCTATGAGCAGCATGCTACATTAAACAATAATGATGAATGAAAAAAAAATTAAATTACTATTTTCAAAGTAATTGATCATACTCATATTCAATTAATTATTAGATATTTATTGAAATAAATATTCAATATTTTATTTAAAACTTGTCGATCTACTGCAGACAATAGTAAAACTATTGCCAGAGTGATTGCAGATAAAGGTTATGTTAGAGATAGACGGGCACAAGTAACCTCAGGCGGGCACAGTGGTGGGTTGGGAACCACTGTTTTAGACCCTGATAAAATTTAGAAAATTAAATTTTGGTTCAAAAAACGTATAAAGAAGAAAATAGGTGTGGTAACCAGGATTTGAATGGATTTTATTCAGCATTCTATATCTTAAGTTATTTCACTCCTCTAATAAATAAATAAGATAATTAAATTAAAATGTATTTTTTAGCATACATTAATCAGCAGAATCAGCTCAGTAACAATAGCTATTATCTCTGAAAATTTGCTAAGATGAAGTGTAATAAAACAACTATGATTCAATTTTATCGACAGTCAAATATTGACAAAAAAATAAATAAAAAACTATCATATGGTAAAAAATCTCAACAAAAAAGTCTTTAATAAATCATAAAAACAAATACAGTTATCTATATTCAAATGTATTATACAATGTATTTAATAAATTTTGAATTGAAGTACGCATGATTCATATTCATGAATACGTTAAAACAAGTTTATTTGAGTGCGAATCAAAGTGTATGTTTTTAAATCTTCTATCTATTTTTATAACTTAAACTTAAACTCTTATGAAAAAATAAAATAAAAATGTATGGACGTAATGTTTAAAAGTAATTTTGAATTATTTTAGTTTAACAAAGAAGATTACTTAAAATGCAGGTCAACAAAAATAATGCCCTCTATAAATATTAAACCATTAGCAAGCCTACAATTAAAGTACACATATTAGAGATTGTGAGAAAAATAAATAAAATATTTAAATTTCAGCACATAAGAAGAGCAAGAAAATGCTACTATATAAGATCACATTGTTTCATAAATTATAAAAATATATACATCATAAATTATGTTCTTCTGCTCCAATGAAATATAGGATAAAAAATCAACTAATCCGAGGTAAGCCTGAGGAGAATAATCAAAACATAGCCTTAATAACATAACATGCAATCATGGTTTTTCTTGTTGACGAATATACATGCAACATTTGCTCCTCAAAGAAAATCTCATGCAAACATAAGTAACAAGAAAATATATAAAACAAACAGAATCAATTACCTTTCTCTGTAGGAAAAATTGCATCAATGATAGGGCAACAAAAAAAAAAAAAAAAAAAAATTGTACTAATTATGAATGTAAAAGTTGTATAATACAATATAGAATAATTTTTAAAGAAGTATTAACCTAAAAAAAAAAATGTAGTTGTCATAAGAGACAAAATAAAAAATATATGTTTTCTATAATTTTAACTATATACACAGACATTTATACATATATATATATATAGTGATTTATTATTTCATTGTCAGATTAATTTTTGTGAGACTTGTAATTATGATTAGTATTAATTTCATAGATAATGATCACTAATGAGAAAATTAGAATGGGCTATCTTTTAAATTATAAAGCTTGAAAGAAAAAATAAATAAAACACCCATCAAACGAAGCATAAAAATAGAAATAATATTTATGAATAGAAAGAAACATAAACAACTATATTTGATAATCACATATAAATTTACATATACATTGACATTACAAAAATAATAAGGATAACATTCAGCATTCTGGGTTGAATCAACACAGCCCTTCATACAAGTTTCAGATGTTCAAAACAGCTAAAAATATTGACTTTTAATTCCTCTACATAATAAAAAAAAAAATTATATCACAATGATCAGGTATAAAAAATGCATTGAAATAAAACATGTAAATATCTTGCAAGAAATTAATATATATTAAAGGAATTCACACATAAAAATATATTTATTTTCAAAAATTAAAAAAAAATTATATAAAAAAACTATTAACTTTTCTAAATAATTTATAATCCTAAAAAGTAACCGAATCCATTAATTAAGATTCTTTCTTATTTTAAAACAAGAGTTTTATAAAAAATAAGAAAGTTCAAATGATTTTATTGAACTCATAACTATAGTTACCAGTAAAAATTCACATAAGATAAAACATACTTAAAAGAAGTTTTTTCAAAATTACATACCTTCCATTATCTCGGCCAACACCCCAAACACGTATTGTATGAATTGGTTGAGTATTAAGCACAGTAAGATTTTCAGGATCTATCAACTTCAAAGCTCCTTCATCTAAATCCATAAACAGATCTTTCCCCTAAAAATGTAATGATATTTTGTAAATACATTAAAAATTTGAAGATAGGTCTTTCATACTTCCTATTTAAAAATGAAACATACATCACCCCATCTTCCTACATTATCAATGAGCCCATTTTTTCCAAAGGATAGCTCAACAATGCAACGATTAACAGCTTTACTGGATCGTTCTGGAGTTAAATCTATCTCTGATATATCCACCCAACCTAAACTTCTAACAGCAAATCTTATTGGTTTTTCTTTGTCCTTTTCATTCCGAGCAGGATAACTTCGTCTTCTAATAAAAAATAATAATAATAATGACAAATAATATTTAATAAAAATAAAGTCAGTCTAATAATTTTGCATATATATATATATATATATATATATATATATATGTATATATATATATGTATGTATATATATATATATATATATATATATATATATATATATATATATATATATATATATATATATATATATATATATTTCACAGCATTTACAAACTATAAAAACTGTAAACATTAAAATAAATTGATATAAAAATATGAAAAGTCTAACTACAACAAATAAAAGAAATTAAAAAATTTCAAATGGACCCTAAATATTTTTTAAATTTAATACATAATAAAATTTATTACTTTAAAGAAATGTCTTCTTTTTTATCTTCTCTTTTTTTGCATTCTTCTTCCAATGCAGAGCTTGTATTGCTTCTTGTAACCACACCCAAACCTCCATTTTGATGATAACTGGATAAAAACTAAAATATTACAAGTTTTTTTAATTTTCATCTAGAGTAGCTCAATATGATGTAATGTTTTTAATGTAAACAAAACTGATAATTGCAATTTTAAATTCTGTCCAAAATATAAATAAAAATGATCATATTATGACTAAGATTCAGACTGAAGAATTTTTGTTTTTTAATTGAAAAATGAGTACTTTACCAATCTTGAATAGTAGGTTTAAAATACATTTTAATAAATAAATTATAATTTATTTATAATATAATGTATATTATTTAATATATTATATATATATATATATATATATATACATATATATATATATATATATATATATATATATATATATATATATATACATATATATATATATATATATATATATATATATATATATTTTTTTTTTTTTTTTTTTGGGGAGGGGAGGGGGCACTACAGACCTTATAGATCTTTGACCGCCTGAACCAGCCTTCTCCACTTCTCTCTATCTTGTGCTACTGCTTTCCAGTTTGCGGCATAAAGCTCAGCAGTATCTTTGTTTATGTTGTTTATCCATCTGGTTTTTGACCTCCCACATGGTCATATATATATATATATATATATATATATATATATATATATACATGTGTGTGGGTGCATGTGTTTGTGTATGTGTATGTATATACATATATACATATATACATCTATATATATATATATATATATATATATATGTATATATATATATATATATATATATATATATATATATATATATATAATTTTTAATAAATGGTTTATGATCTTTTTTAGATCTAAACATTATTTTTTATGATTTATATATAGGAAAATAAAGAAATTCATAGGTGGGCTCTAATATGACTACAAACCACATAGAATGTTAATAAAATGGAAATAGAACATAGATTATACAATAAAACTGTTAATTTAACAATGTTACAATCTATTCACTACCTATTTCATCATAAAACATTTTCTAAAGCATCATAAAAGCTGTGAGGTTGGAAAGATCTTAAAGTTTGGTGTAGAAATGAATATATATTTATATTACTTAACAGACATAGATACAAAATCTAAAGTAGGAAATATACTATATAAGTAGAAAAACATATTAATATTTCAATAAATAGTTTCTTTAATAGACAAGTAATAGGGAAGAAAATCCATTACTATCAGGAATCCATTTTGCTGAGAAACCAAATCATCAAGGTCCAAATTCTCCATTTCTTTAATAAAAGCCTTATGATTTAGTCTATTGCTTAAGGGGCATATAAAGGAAAATCATTTGTAGAGGAAAAGGCAAAAGAACTTCAATGTTTGAAAAGAATGGAAATCAGAAATCTTCCTTGTGACTATAATAAGCTTCCAAGAACCTGGGATTAATCAAGATATTTTTATGTTGTGGTACAAAGATTCATACTTAAAACAGAAATTACTTCCACCCATTCAGCTGAAGCCATTGTTCTTCTAGCAAACCATTAGATTTGATGATCAGAAAACACTTCCTATTCATTTTTTTTAAATAGTTTACTAGTGACAAAGGTTTGTATCGTGAACTTTATATTGCTGTCCTCAAACTTACAGTACCATTTAACCATATCTTTTCTAAGTATTCCTGGTAAACAGCAGCCAGTAGTTGATGAATTTGAGAAGCCGAATAACCTATTGTTTAAAGAAATTGAATTAACTGAAAAAACTTCAAACTTGACATGGTCTATTAAATGTTATATCATGGTAAGCACTTGAATGCATGCTGGACAATAAAGTAAATTAACACTTTAGGAACCTTGCCTGCTAGTGCTCTCAACAACTCAAAAATAAATGCTCACAATACCAATGAAAAATTCTTTAATTTTTATTGGTGTTAAATTTTTCCGTGACTAATTTATTTGAGCAAAGGAAATCATTCAATACATTCATTAAAATAAATAAATGTAATGAACATAAAATAAATATATACTATTAGTTTAAAATAAAAATATATAGTGAAATCTCCCTACAATAGATATCCACAAATCCGACAGATTCATCAGTTGCAGAGGAATGTCTGCTGATCAGCTGAGAAGAGGTTTATAAGTGCAAATTAAAAAATAAATATCTGTTGCTACATGCATGTGTTAAATCAATCTTATTAATTTGAATGAATGGAGTTTATTAATACAATTTTCAATTCTTCAACTAAATTTCTAAATGAAACTTTTTATTTTTTATTGACATTTACTCTTTGAGGATATTGTGGAGTCAAATTACTTGATTTTTTCTACTCTTTGGAAAGATTTTCCTTCTATAAAGACCCTGTTACCTCAATGTATGACCAACAGATGAGCAGAAATGGACCAGCGTATAACTAGAGCAAAAAGAGCTTTCTTCTCCCTTTTAAAGGTATTGAAATCCTGAAAAATCTCAAATTACGGGTGTACAATGCTATGATAAAGCCAGTTCTAATATATGGCTGAGAGACCTGGACACTAACCAGCATCCTAGAAAAAAGTGTTGAAAGAGCTGAGAGAAAAATCCTCCCCACAATAATCAGAGCAATCTGGGATCAGAGTAAAAACACATGAAGAATAAAGACCAATAAAAAACTATTTACAGAAACTGGTCAATCAATATCTCATAACATGAAGGCACGAAGATTAAGATGGGCAGGGCATGTACTCGTAGCAATCCATCTAGAAGCCTCTAGATAACAATGAATGCCTCAACAGAATGTAAAAGACCACATGGAAGGCCAAAAAGCAGATGGATAGATAGAATCAACAAAGATTCAATAGAGCTGCATGCAGATAAACAGAAAGAAATAGCCCAAAACAGACAGAGATTGAGCAGGCTTGTTAAGGCAGCAGAAGATCTACATGGTCTGTATTGCCAACAGAAACAAAAAAAATTTTTTCATATTTTGGATGAAATCAGGGGTGGAAATTTGGTTATATACAGCTGTTAGAGAGGATTTTGTTGCAAAGAGATATGGATTTCTATAACTCCAGGATAAGACATTTAAAAATTATCACTTGAAAGGTTAGTCTATTGGAGAGAGGTGTACATCAGGAGTTTCACTATAATTTTATCCAAACAAACTACTGTAGGAACAAATTTTGAAAGAATAAACAAAATTGTTAACAGAATTAACTTACAGTTTCTGCATCTCTCACAAGAGGTGTACGAGGTTCATTAATTCCACTGATTATTTCAGGCGCATTTCTTTGAATTGTTCCACTTTTGATGTGCCAGTAATAAGGCCCATCATTATCTAAAAGAATAAAAGTTTATTTGTACTGCATGAATCAATTGGCACAGTTACAGTTAGTAAAGTGTAATTAATTTGTAAGTCAAACTGGCTAAACATTTATTGGTTACTCATTTTTAGATAGAATTATAATTTAATAGTTAAAAGAAAAGAAGCAAAAACAGTTATTTACCAAGCAAATAACTTCATGATACAATCTTATTCTTAAATCTAATGAAGAACATATTTACTCTGCCTTAATGAAGAAACAATATTATTTAACCAAACTATCTATAACAAAACTAGATTGTATTCAATATAATTTAAGAAATTGGAAAACATTTGTTTTGTTTTTATGACTTCAGGCTTATTATAGATAATGTATTTTTGTCGGGAAGAAAAGGCCTTAGGCTCTAAGACTATAAAGATTAATCAATCAATCAATCAATCGTCATTACCAAACCAAATCACTGAGTAAATTAAAGTAATAGTATGTTAAAACTTTAATTTACATTTACTGTAGCCTAATAATTATGTTTCTGTAATTTATATATAATTTTATTTGTGAACTTTGTGATGTTAATAATAAACATATGTTTATAGGTCAAAGATAATTATTGAAAAAAGTGTGAGTCTTGATACTAAAACATTGTTTTCATTTTAATTTGAATATGTTACAAAGTTCATATATTATTTTACTTTTTTTTTTATTACTTATCATTATTATCTTTATTTGTTACTCTGTTCTTAATTATTTATATTTGTTCCTCTTTATTGTATGAATAGACACATTTAGCACTAACACTTCTGGTTCTCAGGTGTGGTAGATTTTATTATTATTCAATAAATAAATATTTCAAAAATAGTTTATGAAGAATTCCTACAAGTTTTACTGAAATACAAGCTGAGATATAATTAAGACTATATGTGACCGAAATTTAAGAAATATATTATTTAGAAATTTAATAAACTACTAATTTAATATGATTTCCAAAATCAGACCATAGGGATTTTAACTAATGATAGGAGTAAAAATAAAAATTATTCCTTTGTGTCATCCTATAGAAAATTATAAGTGTTTTAATTATCTGCAAATTTGAATTACTGAAAGAATGGGTGAATTAACTGTAAGTTAAATTTCGAAAGCAGCATAATTTAGGCAACTTAACCTTCAAACTTTTAAATAAATTTAATAATGAAACATTATTTAAGAGCTATTTGAAAACTACTGCTTCATGAACTCTGCAGAAATTATTCAAGAGCCAGGCAAATGAAGGTTAATGATCCACTTATATTCCTGAGTTCGCTGCAGGTTTAAAAAGTTTATTTAATTTTATACACATATTTTCAGAACAAAACACTATAAGTATTCAGACTCAGCCTAGGCCCCAGATGTCTAAAGGATAGGAGACCTCACCATAGAATTAGACCTGTACAGTATCACTTAGTATTTAGTAAAATAGTAAAATTTTACCTTCAAAGTGATAGGATGTGTAAATGTAGAATAGAATAGAATAGAAAAATCATCTTTATTCTGGGACTAGGTCCCTTTAGAATAACAGTATTGTACATATATATTAACTACAAATCTGGTCAAAAGACTTATTACAATGAATAATGACAAAATACATGTAATACATTAAGTATTAATTAACGAGGACAGTTTGGTAATAGGGATTCAGTACTACAATATTGGAGCTAAAATAATTGCATAATAATCACTGAATGAAATTATAAAGGAAAGTACAATCTATTTTATAGGTAAGTCATTGTAAGTTAAGTAAGTAGGTAAGTCATTGTACAATCTATTTTATAGGTAAGTCATTAAGTCATTATTTTGGGGGCGGGGTGGCCGAATATGCACAGCACCGCTAGTTGCCTGGCAACCGGATAACAGAGATTTGAGATGATATAAAAAGTACGAGTTCGAGTCCCGGTGCCGGAGGGGATTTTAAATTCCCCGCCCTCACCCCCCGGCCCGGGAAAATCCCGTATAGCCTAAAAGGGGAGGTAGGGAAGAAAAAAAAAAAAAAAAAAAAAAAAAAAAAAAAAAAAAAAAAAAAAAAGGTAAGTCATTGTAGTGATGGAATATAAAAATTTAAAAAAATAATAATAAATAATAATAATAATAAAAAAACAAATAATGATATACATATGTTCCCTAAGATATTATAGTGCTAAAAACAAATAGCTTCTGAACTGTTATAAGAGAATACTAAATTATTCTGAATCAATCTATTTCTACTGAGAAATAATTCAACACAATTCATTACCTTGGTGTTGCTCCCAACCAGGAGGTAATTTGTCAGAATTTGAATAAGTTAAAGTAGATCTTTCAACATTGTACTCCTCTTTTTCATCATCATATCCTGATATATTGGGTAAGGTTATGTCACAGTTCCTGTAAAAATGATGTAATGATACAATAATTAAATTCATTAAATTTTATTTTTAAGCATTTAAAAGAATGAAGCAAGGGAGAGAGAATCACTTTATTATCATAAAATAGAATAAAATGGTGCTGCCCAATTATATTGGGTTGCTAACAACACAGCATACTTATTAATCACTACAGACATTATTTAAAATTATTATACTATTATATAGGAACAACAATATGTATGAGCATAGTATACAATATTTTATACGTATATATATATATTATTATTTTTTTTTTTTCCTTTTTTTTCCTTTTTATTTTATAATTTTTACTATTTCTTTCATTCATTTATTATCATTCTGAACCCTTTCTCTTCCTTCTCTCCCCCTATACATGTTCCCACTCCTCACATTCTCTCCTCTCTATTTCTAACCTAATACATAAAAAAATACATTAAGTACAGTGGACGTGTTCAATAAATAATAATATAAAAATGCCGTAACACACGCATGCCTCCCCCCGCGAGCAAACTCTCCCCCTATCCGCTCCCATGCACATGGTGGTGGATGATTCCCAGGGAGTCGAGGATTATACTCTCCGCCAACCTTGCCACGTCCTTTATGTCGACACCAAGGCTCATTTAACTTTATATTAAATAAACTCATTTAAGTTTATTATTGAAATGAAAAAAAAACAAAAAAAAAACCTGATTTTAATAATAAAGTACTTTCTTTTAATTATAATTACACATTTAAAAAGAAAGAAACACAAAGGATTTTAAAGAGCCAAAAGATGTTGGAAAATTTTAAATCAATAGTAAATACTTAAAAAAGACATAGAGAGATTAGTTATTGTCAATCAGAGTTGCTAAATATTTTAAAATATCTCTACTGTTAATGCAAAAGGTCATATGTAAAAATTGAGTTTTTTTTACAGAAGAGCATCCTATCAGAAAAACCTATTATTTCTTTATGATTTATTAATATGATTTCATATTTTAATATGACATTTAACTAAAAAATGTCACCTTTAGCGCAAAGAGAATAAACATGTAAAATTGTCACATAAGACTTTTTGCACTAGCAGTACCAATATAAAATAGATTGTTTGTAACTGTATTTTCTTTTTAAAATATAAACAAAGTAATTGTATTTTATTTCCAAGATACTTTTTTTTTTAATTTATTTATTTATTGAATAATATAAAAATCTGTCAAATGGACAACCCAAGATACTAAAATACAAAAAATGTATTTTATTTCGTATTTTAAATACACCAAATAAAATACCAAATAGAGTAGGTTTCCTGTAATATATTTGATCATCAAACAGAATGTGTTTTATTTTGTTTTTGTAATTAAAATAAAAAATTATTTTAGTACTTTGTATTCAAAATACATTTTGCCCAGAACTGTTGTCAATCAATAATAAACTAAGAACACTTATCATTAGAGACCGGATTTCCATATTGTTGCACATTTTATTCACTTGTATGTAAAAACCACGGACCTAAATATTTATTCATTTCAGGATCTGTAAAATAATATATTTAAATTTTATATTGCATGAAATTGCACGTTTTGCCGTTTTTGGCTTAAATTACACGATTTTGATTTTTGTTGCATTAAATTGCACATTTTGTACTAGATTAAATGATTTATGAATATACATATATGTGTGTATGTGTAAATATTTATTTTTTTATTTTAGTATCTTGCCTATATTAAATTTATAATTTTAGAATGAAAAATATGAGAAAGGTAAATTATTCTGTTACTGGCAAAGATTCGAATTTAACATAACAAAAAGACGAAGTAAATACGAATGCAGACTGACTATTCATTGAATAGAACTTGCCAGAAACTAGAAAACATTTCCTTCTTTGTTTTGACTTATCATTTTTTCCTAAGTTCTTAAGTACCCCTCCGTCTGTAAAATTAATTCATAGACCATGAATTCGGCATCAATATATCTAATTTGATCATAAAATCACATTTGTCAAATTTTCCGTTAACATTAACTCAGTTAGAATTTCGAAATTTGTCACTTAATAAACAAATTGAAATTACGGAAACTGTAGGAAATGGAAAAAATGATGAAAAAAATACAGGTTACGCTCGTATAAAAAAATATAACGACTGCATTAATGGTATAAATGTTAATGTAGACAAAGAACCAGAAGTGTTTGCTTATTGCAAAATGAGTTTTCTTACACCAGTTCAAGATGAACGCTCTTTTTTTTATTAAAAAAATATCTGAAATCAATTTTTTTTTTACACAATATTTTAATTCAGAAGCTTAACATAAGGTTTGATAGGATTTTGATGTAGTAATATTATAAATTAAACAAAATAGATGATTTTTGCACTTTTAAGGTGTAAATTAGACAATTTTACATATTTTGTGTTTTTACTGCATAATTTTGCACATTTTGAGTTTTTTGCTGCACATTTTTTCAAATTTTTACTGTACGAAGATCCGTTCTCTACTTATCACTATATAAGTTGGTTTCTATTGACATTTAAAGTATACATGGAAATATTTTTGTTTGAATTTGATGCAATTAGTTAACACATATTAATTTCCTCCAATTAAAATTAACTATTAATCATAAATATTGTAAAGTATTAATATTATCAATTTTATTATTAAAATAAATCATCCATTTATTTTCAAAAAGTTCTAAAGCTAAACTACAAATAAAAACTCATAAGAAGCTGGTTAATTATTTAATTTAAACATTAACAGGATTAAATAAAATTAAAATATTAGATAAAATTTAATTAAATAGTATAAATGATTGACAGTTACATTGTAAAAGGTAGAACTATTGGGTTAGCAAATAAGTCCTTTCGGTTTTTCAGGGTAAAATAAAACTCAATGTACTATAGACATCAAAATTTATTTTAATCTACAATATATTGACCATTATTTAATATGGCTTTTTTCCATCTTTCCACTAACTGCATAATGCCATGTTCATAGAATATCTGGAGTTTATCGTTAAAAAACTGATCCAAGTGGTTTTTGATGTCCTCTTCCTTTTAGAATTTCTTTCCATTCATGGAGTTCTGCAGAGACCAGAATAAGTGGTAGTCACTCGGAGCTATGTCTGATGAATAGGGAGGGGGGGGGCAAAAGATCCCATCCAAGGCTCAATAATTTATTGCGAGTGACCAATGATGTGTGGGGCCAAGTGTTGTCTTGGTGGAACACCACACCCTTCTAATCATTCATAACTCTTCAGGATGTTCTCCAAATTTGATGTTACTATATCCGTTAGAAAGCTGAATTATTGCTCTTCAAAGCAGTATGAATGGTTTTTTGATTTAATGCCTACATAAGGAATAAATAAACAAAAACTCCTTACAGGTTTTTATTTTTTATCTCCATTCCATAGTTTGTTTACGAAGGTCCTGTGGATATCATTTTGAGTAGTTTATGTGGCCCTAAATTCCTATTAAATTTCTAGTAAGTAGCTAAAGTCGTATTGAAGTTATAACATTTATTGTGATTAAAATAAAAAAAATCACGTGAGAGACCCAAATATTAAGCCTGGAAACATAGCCAAGTTTGTGCAAATGGTTTTCTACGCTTGTGTATGACACACTTAGAGCAATAGCAATCTCTCGCACTGATTGGGTGGGATTTTGATCAACAATGGCCTTAACATTGCTCGTTCCAATTTTATGTGGGCGATCAGACACCACTGAGCATCATTGATGTCCAAATTTCTTGAATGAAATTTGGCAAAACAATTTTGGCAGGTGTGTTCGGTTAAGGCATCATCGCCATAAACACTACAAAGTTTTCTATGAGCTTCTGCAGCAAGCTTACCTTTTTTAAAATAATACAAACAAATATGGCATTAATGAATGATATTTTCTTACATATTCACAGTACAATAGCAAACACAATACTAAGATAGTTTCAATAAGAGTTAATAGATAGTTGTTGACATGTTGCAAACAGGATAAACATTTCACCTCAGGAATTAATTCATCAGATAAGAAGTGTATCATAGTGACATAAAAATAAACAGAAAAATCGGAAGGACTTATTTGCCAACCCAATACAAACTAATTATTAGAATACATATTCTATCATTCCCCAACTCAAAGGTCATAATTTAAAAAAAACAATAGTGTTTATTTTTTGATTTGTTCATTTCAGAGATGCTTTGAATTTAATAAAAATTAAAATTAAAAAATAAAATTTAATAAAAACTATAAAATAAAATACAAACAATAAAATAATATTTACTGTTTTATCGTATGTTTTTTATCAAATGCTGGATATTGAAGAGTTTGATTGAACATCCTTGAAACGATCGAATAAAAAACTCAAAATGCTATGTTTTAAATATTTATTTTGAACTGTGGGCAAAGTCGGAGGAGAAATAGAATGAAGCACAGAAAGGACAAAAATGTAAACTAATTAATTATTAAAATATTTCTTAACTTGAATATAAAAGGGATGCTCAAACTACAAAAATAAAATATATATATATAAATAAAATTTAACAAACCTGTTAATGATTACATTGCTATGTTCTATCAAATCGGGTTTAGCTGAACTGAGTGTTGAAGTAAGATCTAGGGGCCTGAATTTGCCTCGATTGACATTTCCTCCAATATTATTGTCCAAAATGACTGGACTACTATTTCTGCGAAATAATAATTAAAATCATTAACTTATTAGATTTGAATACTAAATAGTAATAAAATGAAACAATCAAGAATATTACAATGTCTGCTATTTAAAAATAAAAATAGTTAAATGGTATATTTTCCAAAAGAAGATTCAAATGGTATCTCATCTATGAGGTTTTTAGCCTCCTATTCATGTTAGTCACACTATTAGTAGCCATTCTTACTTCTATTGGTATTCATGAGATTTGTAACAAAACCAATTATAGTGAGTATTATACATTTATAGAAACCTCCCCAATGTGGTAGTGTAATAAATATTCAGATTTATTAGAATGTTTGAGGTCTGTGTATGTGTTCTTTTTTTCAGTCCATAAAATTTGAAAGGTTTGAGTTTTTGGTATGTTTGTGTAGGTACAGTAGACAAGTTTTTGTTTTAATTTTAATTGTCATCTAAGTAATATGTACTACATAGACTCTCCAGAATGTAATTGTCTACCCCTTTTTGGCACAGTTGGCTTAGATGGATAAATATACACATATTTATAAAAATTCCCTGAAATTAGAGATTGAAGAAATTTCATACTTTCCTCCTGACCCTGAAAGAGTTTTAAACATATTAATTGATTGATTGATTGATTGTCATAAGTCTTTTGCCTTGTTGAATCTTTTTCGTCGAACTAGATCCACTATCGTCAAGCATAATTATGTGGAAGCGAACAGGGCTTATAAGGATTTATGTTTAAAAAAGAAAAAGGAACATCTTAATAAGGTAATCGAATGATTTAAAAATGTAAACGATTCTAAGGAATTTTGGCACTTGACTAATCATTTTAAGCGAAGAAATTTTGCTTTTGGTAATATCCATCTTCACAAATTAGTTTTCCATTTTCAAAACTTACTTAACCCTCCTGGTAATAGTGGACTTGTATTATATGCTGAACCATATGTTGATTAGACTTCTCTAAACCTTCCTTTTAATTTAAGTGAATTGCAAATTGTGATTAGTAATTTAAAGGATAACAAGGCACCGGGCATTGATAGAATATCATATGAGTTTTACAAACGTGCACCCGTTGTATTTTTGGATAAGCTTCTTTCTCTTTATAATCAAATTTATGAGACTGGCGAAGCTCCGGCTTCCTTTGGCAAATCTACATCATTTCCTCTTTTTAAACATGGTGACATCAATAATGTTCATAATTATAGGGGTATATCATGTTTGAATGCATCTGCGAAAATTTTTACTGGTGTTCTTTTGCAACGTTTGGAAACTTTTGTCATGGAGAATGAACTTCTCAGTTAATACCAAACAGGTTTTAGATGCGGGTACTCAACAATTGACAATTTATTTGTTTTGGTAAATATTATAAAAATTAAACTCCATAAAAAAAGACAAAAAATCTTTGCATTTTTTGTAGATTTCAAAGCAGTGTTTGACAGTATCTCTAGAAACTCTTTGATTTTGAAATTATACAATTTGGGTGTCTCAACTAAATTCATTAATGTTCTAAAAAATATTTATTCACAATCAGAATTGGCGGTTTGTGATGCAGAGGGATTTTCTGAATTTTTTCCTGTGAATAATGGTGTATGTCAGGGATCTTTACTCAGTCCACTCCTCTTTTCTTTGTGTTTAGATGATCTTCCTCATACGCTTGAAGGAGGAGTTTGTATAGGGTACAGCCCATATCAGGGTTTTAATGTATGCTGATGACATTGTGCTGCCGGCTGAAGATAGGGTTACACTGCAAAGAAATATACACCTTTTGGCAGCCTATTGTGATGATTGGAATTTGACAGTTAATCTTTCTAAATCAAAAATTATGATTTTTAGGAAAGGTGGAAGACTGGTTGCCGGAGATAAATGGTAATTTAAAGGTTTACCAATAGACGTAGTCAATACTTATAAATATATAAATATTTGGGTGTCCCGCTAAGCTCCAGTCTTTCATTTACTTACCATTTGAAAGATTGCATATTGGCTACTAAAATGGGCCTTAATAGGAATTGGTCAGGTTTCATTGCTCAAGATGTGATCTGATAGTATGCTATGCGGCTCAAGTCTAGGGTTTTCAGAGATATGACATGTTGAAGAGGTTTCAGAGATTTTTCATAAAGAAATTATTTTAGTTACCTCCAACAACACCAAATAATATGATTTATTTAGAAACAGCCACAAATCCACTTGAGGTATTCACTTTAAAGTTGTGTTTTAAGTATTGTCTTAAGTTACTGAGCCTGCCTGAAAGTTGTCTCTCCAGACTTATCGCCATTGAAGTGATTAAATGTAATACCTTTTTGTTTAAAAATTGGTGCAATTTGGCGGAAAGATACTCTTGTATGTTCGACAGGACTTCGGAATGCTTTTCGTTATGGAAAGACCAGTTGGCAACAATACGGCCTGCAATCACTCAGCACCATTGGGAGCAGTATAAATTAGCGGCATTGAATTCTGATTGATTTCTATTTTATAGGGAATGGAGTCATGATCTTAAAATTTTGAAATTCGTGGATGGCTGCCGTTGGGATTTGACTGGGCATGAGTTGAGTGGGTTGTTCAAACTCAGGTATGAACTCCTTTATTTGAATTACATCCCATGGCTTGACAGCGAATATACGGATTGTCCACTCTATAACCTACCAGTAAAAGAGGACCTGTTCCATTTTTTGGCTGAGTGTTCAATGCTTGGTCAAATTCGTATTGAATTTCTTGGAACAAGCCCGGTTCCAAATGATATCCTAATTTCCCTTCTAAATGCCCCCTCTGTGAACAAATGTCTTAAAATTGTCGGTTTTGCTCGAAATGCGTGGAAACACTGTTTTAATTTGCTACATCCAGCATAAACAATGATCTGTCTAATTTATTTGTGGTCAGTTTTATTCATGTTATTGTTTATGATTTCCATTATTTTCCTTTATTATTATTTCTTAGACATAAATTATTCAAAATATTTATTATTTTATATTGTGTTAGTTGTTTTATTATTTATCAGTCATTCATGTATATGTAATTATTATAAAGCCTTTATTTGTACTGTACCTGTAAAACATATAAAATTTCCGGCAGACGAATAATCATGCCGTATAAATGTTCTTTATATTTTGGAAATTTATAATTTATGCATATTAAATAAAGCATTTCTCATTCAATATGTACTGCAGTTTAATTCTTTTATTTAAAGCCTTCTGTTTTTCTTTATCCCTGGGACCCAAACCACAGGTCTCCAGCTGAATATGAATTCTAAATTAATAAAGATAGTTAACATAGTCTGTTTGTGGAATTGATGTGTGAGGACAAGTTTCCCATCTATATGTTAGTAAGTCAAGGACTAATCTTCTTTACATTTATTCCAGCTGACTAATTCATTAATTATTATTTGTATAGTGAACACATACAGTATAGGCCTTTTCTTTTACAATATTCATCTTCAGAGTACCATAAGCTGTCATAATAATACATGACTACATAGCTCATACTTGTTGAAGCAGATAAATTAAAAAACTTGATGGAATTATTTTTGATACCTAATTTTGCCTACAACATTGACCTTGTACCTCCGTACAATTATTTGATCAGAATTAGTATTAACAGGGAAACAAAAGCTTGTCACAAGATGGGTTATTATGAAATATTATGATTGTCTCTGTTTTAAAGTATTAGAGGTATAAGGTAAAATTTCAATACCATACTGAATATGAATTCAAAATAAAAAAGTAAAGCACCGCATTACTAAATTAAATTAATGCAATAAAAGATTGTTTTTATAAAAATTTCTGTTTATCTAATCCCAATTATGGAAAAATTAAAAAATAATAAAATTATATACGACCTCTTTGAAACATTATAATGTACAAAACATTTAAATAAGCCTACTAATGTACTAAGAATAAATAAGGAAGAAATGTTACCTATGGTGAATATTGTCAGTGTCCAAGTTAGTTATTGGACCAGTATTAAGATCTACACCCATTGATCCAATATCAAGTGCTGCGTATGCCTTTCGACTATTTGAAGTAACTGGAGGTCTGCAAATGGCCTCTAGTTCAGAATATAGCAAATCTCTATATGTTGATAGCTCAGTATTTGAATTTAGAGCATCATCAAGTCTTGGAAGATGATAGTTAGGATTTTCATAGCTCATTAGTCCATTTTCTAGAAAAAATACACAACTTGTGAAAAAAATAAAAATAAAATAATAGAACATATTATAGAAAGCCATTATTAAATATTTAATTTATTATTAAATGACTAAATATAAAACAATTTTAATTATTTTTCAAAGTTTTAGCTGGCATATACTTAAAATATGAATAGAAAAATGATGGGTTACTTTTTACTCATAAGCCCATCTAAATTATAAATAGATAACTAGTACTTTTTTTTTTTGAGTTCATCACTGTCTTCAATGGGGTAGTTTTTAGAGATTCTGATTCTGAACCCTAAAAAAGTTAATTTGTTCTCTAGAACATAATTTTTTTTCTCCTGAAATCGTTACTTTTGGAGTGAGGTTGACTAAACCTTATGATTGTAAATAAGTAGCTACAGTAATTCATTAGGGGTGGTCTAAGCTTGAAATATTTTGCATAATTTAGAGATAAATTACTTATAATTGATCAACATAAATCTGAGAGTACACTAACTACCAACAGAGCAGTAATTGATTGCGAGGATTAATAATCGATCAAATTTTCATATTGTCTATTGATAAATGTTGAGCCATGGATTTATTATCCATTCAGATGCACCTAAACCTATAATTTTTTTTCTCAAAAAGGCTCTTCAAGAAATAAAAAAATATTTAAAACTTTTATGATAATTTATGTTAAGTATATGTCAGTATTAATGTGAATTCTAAATTTAATAAACATAGCATATAAAAATAACTGACAATTTGCCACACCAAGAAGACTAATAATACATTAATCCTTAATAATTGACTAAAATTATTAATGATAGCTACAATGTTTTTAATTAAGTTATCTAGCTACCAGAATTAGTTAAATTTACAGCATTATTAAATAGTTTCAAAGGAGATCAGACCTATTTAGGTAGAATGGGACAACTCAGTCTCAAGATAATAATTGAGTGGCTTGTTGATTTGAGAAAAAAGAAGTTTCTTTAAAATACCAAAATTAATATTGTGAGGATTCATAATGTCCATATTATTTTTATTTACTAGAAGTATTAAATATAATAATTAATGTATATAACATTAGATGTTAATGATTATATATTAATTTTGCTTTTGAGTATATATTAATTAGGGGTGTAATAACCATGTTGATTGCCTAAGACAATTCGTAAAATAACCTATATTAATTTTGCTAATTGTAATAAATTAATGAAAGTATTTAAAAAATAGAATATAAGAAACAAAGGCATTATCAGGATGAACAATATATGATATGTTGATTAGATGTATATCTAATAGATATATTTGCCAAAGGAAAACATCTCTCAAGAGAGGACAGCAGAAATGAACTATAATAAATATTTATCCTTATTAGAGAAATACGCCAATGAAGAAAAAATTCAATCTAGAATCATAGATCCTGGACACTGGCCTCTATTATTAAATAAGCCCATTAACCCTTATCTGATCTTAGATAAATTAGATTAATGGTAATAAGCTACAATTATTCTTAGAACATTAATAACTACATTTTGGTTAATTGCCTCCCTTATTCAGTTGAATTAGATTTTAATTAGAACCAAAGCTGGATATGTACCCTCACATGGTTCTGCATGAGATTACATGGAAACTCTGAAGAGATACCTTAAATTTTAGGAACTCCGCCATAATTTTAATTTTTTCAAATATAATGCAATGTACCTTAAATTTGTTTTAGATTATTTCCAAAATTCAAAAGTGCAGAATTCAAAATACTTAATCACAATATTGTAAATTTTTCTAATGAAGTAGTGATCTTAGATTAACTTGGATTGATTTTTTGAAGAGAGGACAAAAACATAAAATATTAGTTTCCATAGTAGTATTAAAACCAGAATGAATACAAGTATGCATGATTAGCATCTACAGTTTTAGCCATGTATGTAACATACTTTATAATATCCCCCATAAAACTTGGAGCCGAACGAGATCAAATCACTAAACAAAAAGATAAAGAAGTGATCATTCAGTGAAAGTCTGGGGAATATAGCAGACTAAGGACAATAATTTTTAAGCGTTGGAGTTATTATGATTCCATATAATTAATACCCAACTGAATTATATGAAATTGTTAAAATATCATTTTAAAATATATTTAATTAATTTTAATCTCACAATTTTTTGGACATCCGTCATAAAGATCCATTTTGAGAATAAAAGTATAAACAATATAGAATAGAATAGAAAATCAACTTTATGCTGGGACAAAGTTCCTTAAGAATAATAATATTGTTCATACAAATGAACATTAAATCTACAAAGAGCTATTAAAATAAAAGAATAACTAAAACATAAGTAGCAAAACAAGTATATACATAGCTATAAAATAAATTAAAGAAAGCAGATAAGCAACTGCTAAATAAAAAAAAGATGAAATAAAAAGAACTAAATAAAATTGGAAAGGAACATTTTAATTAATTTTATGAGCAAATCATAGTATAGTGGTGATAAAAAGAAAATAAAGCAATAAAATAAATGTTGTACATCTGTTACTCAAGAAGATTAAATGAATACTCATAATGGCATGTAATAGATTGAGAAAGTATTGTAATCTATATACCAAGATTTAGATTGGGAAGAAAAAAAATATAAATATATACTTGGCAAGTGTGTGTTAGTGTGTTCAAAATTAGCAAAAAATCAAATATATCTCAAAGACATACAATCTTATAAATAGAAAAAGAATATTAAAAACAATCAATACCAACCCACAATGCTATGTGAAAAGTAATATGAAATATTTTCCAATTCATAAAATAAAAAAAAAAGATATATAAAGAAAAATAACACCTAGTTAAATAATAAATAATTAGCCTGCATCTGGTTGAATTGTGAAGAGGATTCTAAATGTGGATAAGAAAGGAATGTGAATGGCAGATTTTAAATGGGATGGAATTCCAAAAAGTGGTAGAACGGACAATAAAGGAGTGTTGAAATGAGACAGATCTGTGGAAAGATCACTTGAATTGGAGGATATTGTGTGCATGGGAAGGGCAATGATCATTGATTATTTTGTTAAGGAATGTGACTAAGAAGTATTGTCTTCGGAAGGAGGGGAAGAGCCACCCTAACTCAGTGGAGTAATGGGAAACAGGAGAATGTCATGAGGTCCCATTGACAAATCTTACTAAGCCATTCATAATTCTTTTTACTCTGTCTCCAAATTCCACTGTAGTCAATGTAGGGAAAGATGAAAGAGGGTACTAAGAGTCAACATGTGGACATGGGTAGGAGATGGCGGAAGCGATGGTTTAGTTTCAGGGTAGAAATTGACTGTCGAGAGATGTGGGTAGTATGGTAATTCCAGGAGAGGGTTTGGTCGATAAAACTGCCTAGGTTTTTAACTGAGGAGCAGAAGGTGATGAGATGGTCATTTAGGTACAGGATAGGAATGTTGGTATTGGATCTGAGAAGGGGTTTAGAACCAATGGCAATTGCTTGGGTTTTAGCATCCCATGGGCAAATGCATCATACAACTCAGAGGGAGAGAAGTAAAGGTAAATTTGGGAATCATCGACATAGAGGTGATGAGAACATTGAAGGATTGATTTATGAAGGTTGTTGATACAGGAACTAAAAATAAGAGGAGCCCTGGGACAATCCTGAGGAAAGAGTAAGGTAGGAAGACAAAGGTTGATTAGGAATAGCAACTGCTCGGGTAGTCTTCCTGAAATCCTCCCAGTTCTCCTTTTTATCTACAATTTCTCCCTTCAGAATTCAGTATTTCCTACTTATTGGAAAAAAAGTCATTGTCCTTTCTTTAAATAAAAATCCTAATCCATCCTCTTGCAAAGATTTCCGCCCAATCTCAATTCTGCCTAACCTCTCAAAACCCCTTGGTGCGATCCCAAGTCTCCAAATTCCTTGAAAAGTCCAACCAATTTGATCATCTCCAATCTGGTTTCTTGGTTCCAATCTTTCCTCTCAAAACGCACCCAAGCAGTCTCCATACCCAATCAGCCACTATCTGCCTACCTTTCTTTATCCTCTGTAGTTGCCCAGGGTTCAAGCATACATCCTCTCCTTTTCAGCTCCCATATTAACGACCAACATAATTCAATTCTGCAATGTTCCCACCACCTTTATGCAGACAATTCTTAGATCTACCAATCCTTTTATCTCTCTAAGTTATTGGTAGCATTTACAAAGATTCAAGAAGACCTTGATTGAATCAGTGCCTGGGAAAATGTAAATAGATTAAGCTTAAATGCAGCCAAAACTCAGGCCACTGTCATTGGTTCCAAGCCCCTTATTAGATCCCATACCGACTTTCCCATACTACAGCTTAATGACCAACCAATCTCCTTTAACCTCTCTGTTAAAAATTTAGGAATTTTCCATCGATCAAACCCTCTCCTGGAACCACCATATTTCTCACATTTCCAGATGAACAATCTCTATCCTTAAACTATTCCGTGGCTTCCACCATCACCTACCTTAACATACGCGTAGACGCTTAGTTGCCACTATCATTTTCCCCCACTTTGACTACAGCTGTGTGGTGCTTGATGGCCTCTCAGTGGAGCTCCATGATAAACTGAAAAGACTAATAAATAGCTGTGTATGATTAGTAATTGGGGCCCCGAGATACTTCCTTGTCTTTCATCACTTCACTAAGTTAAAGTGGCACTGCCCCTAATTTCGAAGCAAATATTTCCTAGGTACGTTCCTTTATCAAAGCATCAACAAGCATCATCCTTCTTACGCCTTCAACCTTTTCTAGTTCAAGTCCTCAGTCCATTCCCTTTCCACAAGATTTCGACCTTCCGACCTTTACATCCCTTCTCACAGATCTCATTTCAAAATCCTTTATTGCTCGTGCTGTCAATTTCTGGAATTCCTTCCCTATCAAAATTCAGCATTTCCCCTCCAAATCCACATTCAAAACCCTACTATTCCAATACCTGCCCCAAAACAGTCAGATATTCACTAACCTTTTGACATTATACATTTATTTTATATCATTCATCATCAGATTATAGTACTATTCTATACTGTAAACTTTGCTAGGGATATTACAATATCTTCTTACTCTTAATGCCACTGAATGCTTCTATTGTTTGGTTTTTACTATATATTTTTTATTTTTATACAACTAAATTTGTACCTATAGTTACAGTAACATAATGATGTATTTATATGTATTCATTATTTAAATACTCTGACATTTTATATTGTCAGATTCGACTTTCCTTTGTTAGCAGAAACATAGGGCTTATTTTAAAGAAGAACTTAATGTATTTTTTTCTTAAAAGTGTATAATTATAATTTTTTACCACCATACATAATTTTAAGTGTTTTGTGTATAGGTTTATTTGTTTGGTATATAGCTTGTTTAACTAATATTTTCTTTACTTTTTTCTTTTCGTATTTATTTAGGCCAGATGTAATCTTTTAATTTTGTACTATTTTGTTATTCTAAACGGTTCTAACTTTGTCTCAGAATAAAATTATTTTCCATCTATCTATCTAACTACTATCTACTTGCTAAATAACCATTATCAATATTAATGATTCTTTAAATTTAAATCTTGTATCACATTTTTACAGTTTCAGAAGTTTTTGCAATTTTCCTTTTAGCCATTAAGTAGGAATAATACCTATTACCTATGAGTAGATTACGATCTTTGCAGATATATATTAATTTTTAAGTATGATTCTTTCACATCCCTATTACTTCTAGCATGCATAGGGAGGCAGCTATGATCATAAAAGGCAAATATATCATAAGAGATAGATATCTTTCTAGATATAAAAGCTGGCTTTTACTCTGTGCCCAGAAAGTAGTTCTTAGAGAATGGGCTATCTTTCAAAATAAAAAAATCATCACCTAAGTTAAGTTAATGAAAATCTAAAAGAAAAGCTGGAATACATTCCTGTTAATAGTCTTTAGGGATGTCATTTCCAGAAGAATGGTTTGGAAAGTAATCAGTAAGTGAAACGTTTCTCAGAGAAACTATTTTCTATTTTCTATTTTCTACAGAGGTAGGAAGAACTTCCTTGAAAACAAATGGTAATAAAAAAACAAAAACAATTTTATTGCCAAGAAAACAATTGATAGGATTTGACAAATATAAAATTCAGATGATTTATATCAGCAATAGAGAAAGTAAAATACAACTTAAATTTAGAAACAATTTTAAATGAATCAGAAAAAATAGACTAAGAACACTGAAATAAGAATGAACTTAATCAAACTCCATATAAGGCCGCATTTCTATATCTGATGGAGAAAGTTAGGTCATGCAAAAAAGCATTTAATAGGATTAAGACTACAGAATAAAGTACCTGCCATAATGGATAGAACACAAACTACAGATCCTCCCTAATTTTTTAAAATCTTATTTTATTGAGAAATAATAAATTTTGCCTTAATTAAGGGGATTGAGTATTAGAGCTGTGTGAGACTCATTCATACCATATATACAATAACAAAAATGATAGAAAAATTATAATAAAAGAAAATTTAATAAAACAAACAAAATTAAACTTGGGGCAACGTTAAATAAAAATATAAAAACGTATTCATAATTATTGACAACCCAAAAACTAATTACCAAAAGCTGACACCTTTATTCGTTAAGACATGTGTTAAGAATGAGAGCGAACAGAGTATAAAGAAAACCAGCGGAAGTAAGGTCACTAGGTAAGGAGACTACAGGGTTGCACTAGGAGAATAAAATAAGAAAACAACCAAATTTTTATCAAATAAAGTGGGAAACCCCTAGCCTAGATGAAGGCAGTAACAAGAAGTTGAAATGAGTGGTCTGATTGGTTGAGGACATAGTGAAAAAAGAAAAAGATGAAGAAGCATAGAAAATTAATCAGTTTAACTTAAGATTGTTGTATTAAAAGACAGTGTTTTAATAACATCAAACTATCAAGCATGTTGTATAGAGAAATACTACATACATACCGAGGTATATATCTTCTTCTGCAGCAATGTTTGCCATTCCAAAATATGTCAGTAAGGAAAAGTATGGATTTCTAGTAGCAGTTATGTTAAGATGAGGGTAGATGTGCCCACCTAGCTCACCACACAACATCCCATTAGTTCACTACACCTAGAAACAAAATTCATGCCTAAATAATGGTAAAGAGAAAACATAAATCAAATACAGAGCTCAAAAATAAATAAACAAGAAGATCAACAATCAGTTAATAATAAAAGTAGTATAAAGGTTTTATCTAAATTCAATAATATGCTGTCAAACTTAAATAAGGGGAACCTAAATGAGAATAATATGATAAAATGGCATCAAAGAACTATCATACCACCATTTTTGTAATTATAAACTATTTAACTATAATAGTTCTATAAAACAGTTCTATGTCTATTACCTTCATAACACATTTTTTATTCTCAGAATTTTTTTTTCAATGAAGTATGAAGTCAGAGAGTTAGTAGTTTTTATGTCTAATTTCTGAAGAATAAATATTGTGTCTTTTTTATTATATTCTGATTTGTCCTTACTATCCCTTCAACTGTGGTTGAATGGACATGTGTGACAAGCCTTTTAAGTCATAGGACAAGAGTTTCAGTTTGGCATGTTCATGTTATCAGTATCTTAAATATTGAAAATATGACAAAACCTTCAGTATTAATAAAATGCATAGTAAGAAAGATATGTATTATTCCATTGTTTTCTATTCTATTATTAGAGGAAATGTGGTATATTTAAAACAGTGAATAAAATTATTCTTAATTTAGAAGAATAGAGGCTATAAATGATCAGGTTATTACATTTTTGATAGCTATTTTGGAATAAACTAAGATGTTTTAAAAATGTCGATTAAAAGTATATAAAAAAAAAAAAATAAAAGAAATAGGTTATACCCATTGTTCTGTACAAAGAAATTTAATTTGTTCACATTAAATTCTATAGTTTTGCCCCTTAAAGTTTTATGACTGAATAACATTTACATCTACTTATATAAGTATTTATAAACTTAAAAAACTCTTTTGTGTGGATCAAGGTATCCTAACTACCTCTTTCATGTGGTATTGTGCAATGGCACCAATAACTCCAACCTATCAAAATTTGGATAGAAATGATAAATTTTGGAACAAAATGTGAATGAATAACTAATTCAAAAACTTGTCTTGCATGATTTGAAATAGAAAATAATTAATAAAAAAGAAACTTGACCCAATCTTAAATTCCTTCAGAAATAATTGGCGAATTTACAAAATTATTAACTAAAATTATTAGTATAAATAGGATCATGAAAAGAAAAAAAATCGCTCAAACACCAAATAAAATAAAAGATAACTTTTAAAGTTTTTTCTCTCTCATAAACCAACCTTTCACAAATAAAAAATAACTACACTTCCTAAAAATTAAATTATATTATAGCGTATAATATATATACACATGAAGAAATTCCTACCATAAATATTTTATAAAATAACAATATAATTGTTAAGTCTTAAAGAGAAAAACGAAATAATACTAAAGATACTTCGAAAATATATATTTGTTATTAAACGTAAATGAGACACTGTTCTGTTACAAACCACAAAATTACAAAGGGAAAACTTACAAATAACAGCATTCTATAACCCAAGTCAATTTCGCAAGTGGTGTTGACAATTATAAAATTATAGATCCGTTTTTTTTTTTTATCACAATAAACTCAAGTATTTACTTTTAAATTACTTCTTAGTAGACCATTAAAAGCTATAAAAGAACAGAATCAGCCCTACTGGGGCACATAAATACCTTCTAATGAACCAAGACGTTGCACAGGGAAAAACCATCAATAGTAAGGATTTTTCTCACTCTAAACCTAAACTAAATAGAACTATTCGTTTTTAGAACACGTATGATGTAACTCAAAAGAAGAAAAAGACTTTCTGAAACCACCTGTCAAACAAGCTGAACTTGGGACACTGGCCACTGTAACCAAACCAACATGGAAGCAGCACATAAAGTATTGATTCTTTTCTAGATAGACATTCTGGCGCCCAGAGCTCGGTTCACGGGAGGGAAACTGTTTGTGTTTGAAACGAATTATTCTTATTAATGGCTAAAAGTAATTCTCATTATTGAAATTAATCATTCTCTGAATAATTTGGTAAATTAAAAAGCTAACCAATATATATTTTATTATGAGTCAGTTCGTTTAGTACATATAGTTCGTATAGTGCTGGATATTTCGAATAGAAAAGTATAGGTTTCGCGCAATGGTAAAAATACTTTTACGCATTATGGATTTTAACTTGGAATGAAAAGAAGAAATATTGATGATAATGAAGTATTATCAGAAAAATAAATAAGTATTTAAAATTGATCTTCATTCATTCCTACTAGGTTACTATACCGCAATATTTTTGGCTAGGTATGCGGAAATTTCGTAATCTTATTAGATCCAACGAAAATGTAATATCTTAATAAATAATTATATAACGTTTAACATAAATTTTTGTACATAAAACAAAGTTTGATGAAAACATTTAAACGTATTTTTACGTTATCAACTACTACATTATAAACCAACACCTGTTTTTATTTTTTTTTTATAAATGGGCAAAAATAGATTAAAAAAATATAATAAAGACTGAAAAAAAGATGAATTCTCTTAAATTTATTTATATATAAAAAAATCGACTTTTGTTTGAATGCTAAAGAAAAATTGATGATAATAAGTAAAAAATTACTTGAAAGCGAAATAATTTTATAGAATGATAAATGAGCGAAATTTTAAGAGAGCGCCATCTATAAAACAATTTTTTTCCATCATTTTTTAAAGATATAATCTATAAATATTTTAAATGTAATTTATTTAATTAAATTTGATATGTTGCATAAAAGCACTGAGTTCGTTGTTGCCTCACACCCTCACTTACCCAGCACAACCACTCTTATTATTCCTGCACTTCCAAACGGGTCGTACGACAGGTGCACGGACTTGTTTCTCTTCATACTACTCAAAAAGTACCCAGACAGGTTGGAGCGTCGCACAGTGGGGTCTAAATTCTTAATGAGTTTTAGGATATACATAAATACTATATTTATAAATATCGGAAAATCTATTGCAACCCTCGAAACAGTTCCTGAGATTCCGTGATTCTATGGCCCTTAAAACACGTCAGCTCCTAATTTACTTCCTCATTTTGCTCCACTTTCGTGGTGGCTGGTCTGTATACAGTAGACTTTCTGGTGGGCATGAGAAAAAGATCATATTGAGAAGGCTAGTTGTTTCATTAGATTCATCTTTGGAGTCTGAGCTGAGCTGAAGTTGCTCTATTCAGTTTTCCGACGGCAATATTCCCTAGGTGTATTCTTTTTTCGAACCTTTACAACCAAACAACCTCCTTAACTTCTTGATTCATTTGTCCCTTGTTCCTCTGACCAGTCTTTAAGCACTAGACCCCAGTCCACAAACCTGTATATTCCTTCTCATAAAACCGCTTCCTTTAAAAAAAATCTTTATCACACGTGCTAACGTGTTTTTGAATTTCTTACCCACTTCCATACTCATCTTTCCTCAACAATCAATGTTCCGAATACACGAAGAAATATTCGCATTTTAATGTTTTCAGTCTCAAAAACATTAAAAAATATTTAATTATTTATAATTTCATTTTTTTACTTATGATTATTCATTATTTTAAATTTAATTATTTCTTGACCTCATTTTATGCCAGACAAACGACACTTCTATTATCCATTTTCGTTATTCTTAAAGTACTAAACGTCACAGAATAAAATTTACTTTTCTTCTTATTTTATATTAAATTTCTCTATTTAAAATTATTAAATGAACAGGGTTCATAAGGATTACTTAAAAGTGAAGGTACATCCGAGCATTAAAGCCAACACCCACGTTTTGCCGCTCGTTAACCGCTCAACGAAGCGGTGTTTAACACTTTTGCACTTAAAGCTCTATAAAACAATTAATACACAAGCACGTAGAAGATAATTTTGCTATGATATACATATGATTGTTCTTGAGTAGTTCAAAGAAGTCTTTTTTATTTTATTTTTTAATATAAAATAACTTATTTCTATACCATTGACGAAAATAAACGATGACCTTATGGAAGACATCATCAACGACCCGGATCAAAGTCTTTGAACCCAATATATATTTAGACCCCGAAGACAAGGGTAAATTTATTTGTTTATTTATAACAATTGTCAAATTACAACAGGTAAACATTAATTGATATATATATATATATTTTTTTTTTTCGGTTGGCTCTACGGACCTTGTAGATCTTTGGCCGCCCGAATCAGCCTTCTCCACCTGCCTATCTTGGGCTATTGCTTTCCAGTTTGCGGCATGAAGCTCAGCCGTATCTTTGTTTATCCTATCTATCCATCTGGTTTTTGGACTCCCACGTGTTCTCTTGCCTACTACTCTGGCATTTATTATTGTGTAAAGGCGTCCTGATGGATTGCTACGAGCTACATGGCCCGCCCATCTTAATCTCCTTGCCTTCATATCATGTGATAAGTACTTTGCAGTTCGCACTTGTTATTCACTGGTCTATCTCTGTTAATTGATCATTTATTGATGTCATTGTGGATCCGAGGTATTTAAATCTATCTACTACCGGGAATGACTTGAATGAGTCCACGCAAATCATACTATTAGGATGGATATTTCGGCTAACTATCATATATTTTGTTTTTAATTGATGATCTTTAAGTGGTCCTTGAAGGCCTATACAAAAAAAAACCAAATACAAATGATTTATATAATAATTTTAGGAAAGGTTGAACAAGCTAATATTCAATATAGTGATTGGTCTGAAGAAAATAAAATGATATTCGGAATAAATAAAAGAAGAAGCAGAAAAAATGGGTATCGAAGAGGAAGACTACCATGATAAGGAAAAAAATTGGTTAAAAAGTGAAAACATAAAGATTTTTCCAGTGGAGAAGAAGAAGCAAGAAGGTGGACGATGGACAGAAGAACGAAGGATGAAGGTGAGAGAAAACATCAGAAGAATATGGGGAAAACAAAAACAACGTAGAAATGGTATACACGTGGTCCTTAGTTGGCCTATATCGCGATAAATAAATAATTACAGGAACAATAATGCTTTTAGGAA